ATATCTCTTAAAAAGGAAATTTTCGCCATTTGACAGTACAATCATCAGATAATGTCACAAAGTGTCACAAAATTAAAGTTTGACTATATGAACAACTTTCATTAAGTGACCGATAGTGGCAGCTCAGTAATTATATTAGCATTGGCCAATTATTAGCTGATCTATGCCTTATACAGTGATACTTTACTATGTAGACAACCCACATAGGTTATTGAAGCACCACTAAGGGTACCTGAATATTAAGACCAGTACCCTTTAAAATATAATGTTATTAGTATACCTATACCATCTCATGATGATTCATCATATCTATTGATGCTGAAATTTGTCCACCAAATCTGTATGAATTCAAATGACTATTGTACTGGTAGGTAGCTATTTACTTAAGCTTTAGATGTTCTGATGTGATCATAGTCCTATATCTTAATACTCCAATATTATGCCACTTTTCCCCTGGTTTCCATGTTTTAAATTGGATCAGGCACAATGATCACTTGATATCTTGCTGAGAAATGCATGGATAATCATGATCCAAGTTGCATTCAGGTCTAATAGATGTCCATAGTAGCTGTGTGTACCCCCCATAATTTTATATATCACATGCACCTGTATACATGGCATAAATTCTATCACTCTAATCTCTTAATAACCTACTTGAAGGTGAGGGGTCCCCTGATGGGATTAAGGTGGGAAACATGTAGAGGGATCCCCCTATGAAATGGTATGCCTTACATCACATACTATGTCCAGAAAATCCTGTTATGCTCTATTAGACTGATGAATACTACTATATATTACTATGATTTGATTATCAAATATGTAGAACTCGGGCAAATATGGTGTATACACATACCCACATACTCTGATTGATCTCTCTATATTTCCAGAGGATGAATTGGGGTCAATATTCTGAGATGAGTTGAGTGCAGAACCGGTTTACATGAATGGTGGGGTCTATAGACTGAGCACCAGACATTAGGATGCATAGATGAGGATATTTGGATGTCTAGTAGGACTCCATACTATAATGCATTGTGGTTGTGGCATGTGTTGCTACAGTTAGCTGAACAGAGGGTAGGTATGCATAGAGCAAAAGAGAGTGCCTTTGCTATTACAACAGGTCAGAAATTAATTTCAAGTATGATGCAGGCATTGAGCCTAGAATTGTATAGGGCTCCAAATGAACCTGTCCAGCACTTGAATCAACCTTATATATGTTCTGGATCCCTCACAGTACTATTATCAGTGTTATCTACCACAACGATGATGGGTTCACCATGGCATCACCCATGAGGTTCGAGGAAATCTAAGGATATATACTGGTAGGGGTATGCTTTACCTCCCAGAAACTGGTGGCCCTGACCCTCTAGCATATCTCTATCCTGTGCTATATAGCACCTAAGGTCTTTGGGAATTGAATCACCCTAACACCTGCTGTGTGGTCATAAATGGGTGGAGGCATGGTGGACCATCCTATAGTCTCAGATCAACTTAGATCATGAGATTCCATGCATGTCGCCCTAAGATATCAGCAAAATACTGTTCAACTTGGTATTTTAACATGCTTGGCAGTGAATAGCTCAGGGTAATGATAAGAGACAAGAGCTGAAGGATAGATGGATGGTACACCTTTCAAATGAACTCTCTCCCAGCTTTATCCACCAAGGCTAGCTGGAGATCTGTGCTTATCTTGCAAGGGTGATAGGGATCAATACCACTGATGAGTGGATGTATTGCATTATCAGTGCCACATTCACTGGGAATTAAGAAGGGACACATCAGACCCTTAGGTCAGAGTAGGCAAACTAACAAGTCAGCTACCTTATATTTTAAAAGTACCAGATATTCTCTTTTTCAGGACCGAAGGGTCAATGTAGTAATTATACAATATGATAATCATCAACATATCTGATCAATCAATGGTACTTTTGAGACCCTTCCTGCTAGTACTTGATTCATGCTTTTAGCTCAAGTAGCTATAAAGATAGAGGCCCATCAGTTATACATAAGCTAGTGATGGGTTAGTGCTCACACATTTATTGAGCTGCCACCATGGGTTACTTAAAGAAAAGGTGGTTATATAGTCAAAATATACGACTTTGATTTTGTGACAATGTGTGACATTCTCTGATGATTTTCCTGTCAAATGGCGAAAATTTCCTTTTTAAGAGATATGTGACACTTGTGACCTCATATGACACTGTGTAACAAAACCAGTACCATCAATACATATAGTATCACATAATATCACAAATATAGTAAGATGTTATATAACAGTGTCATATCTTATAGTTACTTAGGCACTAGATCCTGCCGTATAGTAATACCAACTCTTTCCTTTTTTGGCAACTTTCAATGATGTAATCATAATATGTTACTGGAGATAGCAGATATTACAGTCTACACACATTATAGTGCCTTTGAACTAAAAATGCCTTTTTTGGCAAGCCTCAATGATCTGTTAGTTTAATATTTATAGTAGATATTGCAGCATAGGTTGCCGACTTAGCATTCAAGTCTTGTGCCCCAGAATTATTACATTTATTGCAACTTTAAACTCTATTTATTGCAGCATTGGACCATTTACAGAAACATTTGTAGTTAGAATGCACACCGCGCTGTAGCATACATTCTAACTACAAGGGATATGTGGGATTAACAGGTGGTCCAAGGTCAAGCTAGAGGCCCCTGCTCCTCATGTTCTGATGAGTGGGCCGTCTCCGGTGGTCTTCTCCATTTCCAAGGGAAGATCATCGTACCAAAGGACAAGGACCTTCGGAGACGCATCATCGAGCTCTGCCATGACACTCGAGTCGCCGGACATGCAGGTCGCTTCAAGACCTTGGAGTTGGTCTCCCAGAATTACTGGTGGCCCCAAATGTCTCGCCATATCGGCCGGTATGTTGCAACCTGTGACTTGTGCTGTCGCACCAAGGCACTCTGGAGACTGCCCCACGGAGAGCTGCACCCTACGGAAACGCCCCCGGAACGCTGGCATACCGTTTCCGTTGACTTCATCGTAGAGCTCCCCGAAGCCCATGGGTACGACGCGATCATGGTTGTCGTTGACACCCTTGGAAAGTGCACCCACTTCTCGGAGTGTCATACGACGGGTCGATGCCGTAGGGGCAGCCCGCCTCTACTACCAGAACGTCTGGCGGCACCATGGGACCCCGGAGAAGTACATCTCCGACCGCAGCTCACAGTTCATGGCGGACTTCACCCGAGAACTTTGGCGTCTAATCGGCATCAAGCCCACCACATCCACCGCGTACCACCCACAGACGGACGGGCAGACAGAACGTGTCAACCAGGAGCTGGAGCAATACCTGCGGATCTTCACCAACTATCAGCAGGACGACTGGGACCAGCTGATTCCGGCCAAGTCCCGTTCATGACAGACTCGGGCCGGCTCCCACGCATGGGCTTCGAACCCGGAGTCCGCTCCGCTATGGAGTCTGTGAACGAGTTCCGTGACCGGATCACCACCGGTGTTGCTAAAGCCAAGGCTGCGCTCACAAAGGCCAAAGAGGAGTACAAACGCTACTACGACCGGAGACGCACTCTGTCTCCGGAGTTTAAGGTCGGCGACCGTGTTTGGCTGGATGCCTCTGACATCAGGACGACTCGCCCCTCGGAAAAGTTCTCCCATCGCCGCCTCGGACCGTTCAAGATAGTCGCGGAGATCAGCAAAGGTGCCTACAAGCTCAACCTCCCTCCGCGCTACTCGAAGCTCCACCCGGTCTTCCCCGTCGTCAAGCTCGAGCTCACCCAGGACGACCCCTTCGATGGACGCCCCGGCTATGACCAGCCCCCTCCAGACCTCGAGGACGGAGTCCCGGAGTGGGAAGTAGAGGAAATCTTGGATGCAAGGGTGAGGTATAAACGGCTGAACTACTTCGTCAGATGGAAAGCCTACGACACGTCGCATGACCAGTGGGTTCGACCGCGTCTTCGCCCCGGAGAAAATTGCGGAGTTCTATCGTAAGTACCCTGGCAAGCCACGGCATATCGCCTCCGCGACCTTCGACTCGATTCCGTTCCAGTCTATGCTTCGGGACGCCACATTCAAAGGGGGGTGATGTCAGGGGAACCCCCCTTTCGGCCCCTCGGAGACGCGTCCGACTCCGGTCCGATTCCGGTTCTGACTCCAGTCCGGCCCTCCATCTCGCCCGCACAATCACCAATCCGTCAACACCCTCCCGACGGTCGCCCTGGGACACTGCCTGCGACACCGCCCAAGCCTTCTGTGCCTGACAGTGGCAGCTATGGACAAGCAGTATATAGTCAGCTACCTAGCAGGCGGACCCTTAGAGTTTCTTCTCTTTGGATCCTCCCCTGCTAGGTCAGCTTCATTTGTATTTGCTTACCAATGTTCACTTTGGATCCTCCCCTGCTAGGACCTTGTCTCAGGCCTCCGGGGTTGCCCTTACAACAGCATCAACTCTCTACATCGACAACCAGTCGGCGATCTCAGTCGCCAAAGACCCCGAACACCACGGCCGCATGAAGCATTTGGACCTCCGATTCTACTGGTTGCGTGACGAAGTCGCCAAAAAAACGGATAGCAGTTGTGCATGTGCAGACCAATGAGATGCCGGCGGACATACTAACGAAGGCTATAGGGAGTGTGAAGGTCAAAACTATGATCACCTTACTCGGACTCAAATCTTAGGCATGCTTCATCATGGGGGTGTGTTAGAAGTACCGACATAGCATTGTACAGATGTAGTAGTGGGACGACCACGTGAGGCAACCCGTCTTGCCTCACCCGTCGTCCCAGGTATGTCATAGTGAATAGGCAACCCGTCTTACCTCACCCGTCATCCCAGCTTTGAGAGCTTGAGCCTCCGCGCACATACCTATTTCAACAATAAGCGGGCACCATAGGTGAAATTCAGGCAAGAAGGAAGTCAAAATTGGCAGGGAGAAGGTGGGCCTTGTTGAACTTGGCCTCGATCTGCTTCTTGAGTCGGTAGTAGGGGGTGATGTAGGTCTTGTCAGTGGCGTTGGTTGGACCTCTGCCGCCCGTGAGGAGCCCAATAAGGCGACCACGCCTGTCGACAACTACGGATCTCTCCTCCGTCCGAGAAATGATCGTTCTTGCCCGTCTTGATGTCGTAGCCGAGGATGATCATCTCGGTCGCGTCAAACGTGAGGTCGTGACCCTCGTAATAACGGTTGATGGACTCGAGACCGTTGACGCGGCCAAAGGTGGTGCCGGTGGTACGTCCGTTCTTGACGGCGAGGAGGGTATCTCCGTCGTTGACGTCGCGGTTCCTGGGGCTGCGGAAGTCGTCCTCACAAACGTAATCCTCGATCTGGAGAAGAAGGTCCTCGGGGACGTGGAAGTCCTGACGGTCGTGAGGTTGAGGGAACATGTAGTTCTCCCAGTCGACCGCCGTCATGTTGCCACCTGTTGGGTACAAAGGGGTGTCAGTGATGGATCAAGAGACTGTGACGCACCAACGTAGAGCTTGTTACCTTGGAACAAGCCGGCCTCCAGCCTGTCCTTATGGACCTCGATCAGGGCCCAATCGTACATGTAACCGTCGTCTCCGACCTCGATCTTGGCGCAATGATAGAGATGTCCAAACTTGAAGATGCGGGAGTCGAGGAAGGTGTAATTCTTGGTGATAGCGTCGTGGAGCTTGTTGGCGGCCGTGATCCTCGTCTTGGCGGCATCGATGCGGCCGGCGAGCTCGGCGCGTCGGTTGGTCCGAGAAGCCGGCTCACCCTGAGCATACGCCGGGAGCCTGTCGAGGGACGACTGCCAGGCGGCAATCCCCTTGGTCTCGTCGCCGATGAGCTTCATGATGTTGCCGATCGCGTCGCTGCAGGACTCGGTGCCGTGGAGAACGAATTTTTCGAGAGGCTGGCTCGTGTTCTTGAGCGTATACGCCACGTTCTCAAACTGGACCGGAGGCCTAGCAATGTGGGCGCAAGTAAGAAGATAGACGCGCTTGTCATTATCATCGGTGCCAGTGCTGAGACGCAGGAAGACGCCGCCCGTGCCCTCGTAGTAAGGCGTAGCATGAGGGGCGATGGAGAGGCCGGGCGTAAAGGTAAAGGGCTTCCGGAGGATGGCAGTGCTCTCCAACTCGTTATTCGGGTCGAAGGGCATGAACTTGGCCTGGCGGTGATGGTCGGCCTCGACAACGGCTACCTGAGCGTTGGAGAACCCACGTTGCTAGAATGCGAACAACAATGATTATCCAACACCCACATGCACGGAATAGTACAAAACTCACCATGAGAACGGAAAGGACGGTGGGAGTAACGATCCCAGCAGCATCTCCCTGGGCAAGCGAGTTTGGTTTGACGCTGATGACGACCACGAAGTTGCAGATTAATTTCTCATCGCCGGTGTTTGCGTAGGCGAGGGGGTCAACGGCGGTCAACTGCATCTTTAGTTCGAGCGCGTCGAGACGCATAACGATGAGCTTCGCGGTTTCGAGCCAAGTCTCCGCCTTCTCCATATCATAGATGGGACGGGCGGCGCGGACAAGGTTCGACGCCTGACCCTGAGCAACGGGCCATGGTGGGCCACTTTTGAAAAGACACAGCGTCCCAGAACCGAAGAAGTCGGTGATGGCGGCTGGGTACGCGGCGAGGATCTGCTTGAGGCGCTCGTTGCTGGCCATGACAGGGTTGGGAACAGGGGTCTGAATAGACGGGGCTGCGGGCATTTGGCAGTGCCTTTCCATCAATCACGCTGCCTCGGCAAGGGAACCCGAACCTCCCTCACTCCAGAATACAGTGAGTAAGCACTGACTTATGTCCATTTGAAGACTGTTTTGGAGTCGAAGTCTTCTACCAGAGTGTGAACATTAAACTTCCGTGGTGTCGTGCTGAAGCTTCAAGCTTCAGGGTCATTCTGAGGCGGGCGGCGAATTGAACAGAGTCGCACTAGCAGTGTACCGATGATCTCAAATCTGAATGGAGTGCACAGAATAAGATTGACATGTCAGTGGTTACAGATTACAGAACGCCATCATCTTTGAATCGTTCAAGTTGAATTGAACGTGATATTACGGCTTGGACACATTCTGTTTAACTGGGTAAGAACAATGAACATGTCTTGATATTCAGGCAAGTAAGCACCTTATCAGTCCGATTTGAAGTTGGACTGCCAGGAGCCGGACCCGTCGACGGTGGCTGCGGTCGCAATGCCAGGCAAGTTGAGCGTCCCTTTGATGATGGGCCCGTTCGCAAGCGTAAGCTCGAACCGGACGTTGTCCTTGCCGATGTACCCCTTGAAAGAGTGCGTGGAGGTCAAGTGATCGGCATTGTCGTAGCTGAGCGTCGCCTCGCTGGACGTGAACGGCAGCAGCGCGGGCGAGACGGACGCGGTGTAGGTACGCAGAATGCCGTCGACGACAAAAGACGCCTGGATACGGTTGGCCGAGAGCAAGGTGAGCGTTCCTTTGGCGGTAGACATTTTAGCGAGGCTACGGAGGACGGTGAGTACGACGTTGATGAGGGAGGGGGCGAGTACCTGGTTGGTGTTCTTCGATTTGCGAGTGTTGGCACGCGGTAGTAGAAAACAGCAGTGATGGGGAGTTTGATCTGGGGTCGAGACAAAATTGTGTCTCCCTTTATATGCTCTGTGCTGAAGTCAGAAGGGGCGCTGACCTCAAACGAAGCAGGTGAATGGCGTCAGACAATACGCAGACCTCGAGACCGGCGAAACGACAGTCCGGAGAGCGGAAGAAGAAACGCTGTTGGCCCCACTTCGTAGAAAATAGTGGTTCCTGTTTTCGTGATGGCGTTCGGGGGTATCGGGGTTCTGGTATACGTACACCTCAGTTGTTTGTGTGGCGCCGTGTCTGGGCACTCGCTGCGTCAAGCATGTTCTCTCGAAAAAAAAATTAACGAACAACAAATTTGAAGGTGAGAGGGTGAAGTCCACATTCCCTATATAACTCAAGCAATTCCACATGAGCTCCACGTCTATGCCTGTTGAGGGTGACCAGTAGTTCCCTAGTTTCCCATTCCAGATTGTAGAGGCACAAGATGGTTCGAAAAAATGTCGTTCGCCGTCAAAGCCGGTTGATGATCGCGATTTGACATCATCGCAAGTTTAATGGGCAACTCTTCTTGGACCTCGGCCGTATTGGGGCCTCTGTTATGCTCCGCCCGCTCGGTCGGTCGTTAACACCGGAGAAGATCCAGCTTCGAAATATCTTCGAGTCCAATGTTGCGGTGGAGTAAAATCGTTGGATGCACGCCACATGCAAGTCAAGTGGGGCTAAACTTGGTACTACCGGTCGTAAGACAAGCTCAAATCGAATAGAATCACCCCACGAAGTTCGTGTTCATGCCTGCTACATCTAGAGAGCTTGTGCTATCCGCTCAGCGTGCCTCCAACGGATTCCATTGTCTGATCGGAAAAGAAGATGGTCAGCCCGGTCGTCATTACGGATACACACTCACAAATGGGGAGGCCGTCGGGCCATCGAGAATGGCCAATTCCTCAGGGGTGAATGATAACCGGGGCACGAGCAAGACGCGTAAAGGAACGAGGAGCATGATGATGACCGGGAAGCCAATTGCAGCTAACCAAACTCAATGATTTCAAAAAATGCATTGTTACTCAGCACACCTTTGGTCTGAGTGATCGCAAAGGTTGCACCGAACCCCACGAGCTGCACGCCAACGAAGACTAAGATGTGCGATTTACGGACCCTTCGAAGGGGCTCCGTCGCTGGTGTAAGTCTTTTGTCGCGCAAAAAGTAGAGTAGCTTGAGGGTGATCCCATTCCCGCGGAGGGCATCCGCACCCATGTACCAACTAAACCGATCAGATTTCACGACAAAGAGAACAGAAAGCGCCGCTTACAATAAGCCAGCAAGGACACCCCTGGGAATCAGGTGCAGAACATGGAGGAACGGGCCAGTTAGGAGTACGAGACATAATGCGCCTTGAGCGAGATTTGACAGACGCTGCTCCACTACCGCAATGGGACGCTCGGTATAATCGTACACGCCGTGGTCTTGCTTTTCTTTGTCGGCGTCCTCCGAAGGGAGATTCTTCATTATAAGTAAGGAATTCGTATGTATGGGCGCTTGAGGAATCAGTCCATTTGGTGCGGGAACACCGATGAGGCCCGCGATGAACTGTTAATTGACTGAGAAAGGACATGCCAACGCAGCCAATGCATACAGTGGTAATTCCAAGTAGGAAGAAATCGTAGTGGAACCCGGGGGGCTTTCGCAGTGGGAACTCGGCCCCTTGTGCCATTAACGACTAGAAAAATTGTCAGCCCACGAAAAATGGAGGATATTAGCACTTGCTGAAACGTTATGGTCAAAGAAGAACAACACCCATAAGATCAATCCAAATGGGAAAGCGATCCCAACCCATTTCCCATCGAGCTCCCAGAACTTGACAAGCCAGTCGCGTCCTCCCGCAGCCCCAAATGCTCTTCCCACGGGTAGCGTTGCCACGTTGGCGGCATTAAACCTCCCCCAATATGCCATCGCGGAGGACGCAATAAGCGATAGTGGCATTCCATAGTCGGCGAGAAAACGCCTTGTGTGTCGATTAAAATACGGCTTATTCGAGAGGTGTTGGAAGAGGAAAGACACAACCAGCATTGAAAGTGCGAGAATGATCGAGACAAGTGGGCCTGGTGCGTTTTGCACGTTGTCGTCCAGCTGGCGGGTGAGAACTTGGACCCCGTATTGAAGATACACCCAAGCAACATAGAAGCCGAAGGTATCGCAGGGGAAAAGCGTCACATATTTAAGCAGGTTGCAGACTGTTATAGGTTGTTAGCAGGAAGAGGGTCAGGGCAAATCGTGTGGCGTACAGTTTAGAAGAGCCGTTATCCAGTGTAATATGGCTGCCCAGAGATACACCCAACCCACGAAATGCAAGTAGACTGGCGCATCAGCTCGGTTTTGGGTGATATTATATATTGTCTTGTTGAAAACAGTGATGGGCCCTTTGCACTATGAGACTTGCCGAAGCATGAAAAGATGGTGAAAACGCACCGGTCACACCAGCAATGGTCAGCGGTTGTGCTCCAAAGCACGAAAAGACGAAGGCCGCCATGAAAGATGATATCAGGACCTCCGCAACCCCATATTGGTTGGTAGTTTCAATGAGGTCGAGAGAAAACGCAATACCGGGGAGTACACTGCAAAAGTTAGAGTGCAAACAACGAACAAGTATTTCAACCCACTTGGCAAAAAAGATGAGTGCTGTCGCAGGGACGACGCGGTAGTTCCAAGCATCTCTCCAGTCAGAGAGATAGAAGGGAGCCCGGGCTTTGATGTCCGAGACCACTCCAGTCCCAGCGGAGGAAAGCCATTTTGTAGAACCTCCCGATTTGCGCTGGGGATGGATAGTTGACGGTGGAGAAGAAGAGTCGTTATTTGGGGGTGCTTTGGTTCTATGGGAGGACATTGAGTGTCGTCTATCGTAGCAGCTCTGTCATGGGGGGTTCAGGTCGGTGTGACCTTGAGGGTGGAGCGGAAGAGAAACACATTTTGCCGAAAATGATCGGTTCCGGCTTGTCGGGACGCTCACCGCTCTTTGATTTTGACCTCCACTATGGGTTTCTTCCAAGCCGCGCGCAAGGTGTTTGCTGGTCTTGGAATCCTTTATGGCATTGCAATCGTCGCACTCACCGTCCCTTATCTCCAAACCCAGTTAAGCAAAACCCCCATCGTCAATGACACGTTACTGACTTCGTGTAAAGCACTTTAGTGAGCTCAACGCACGCGTTTTCTGGGGCATATATTGACAAACAACACTTTACCAGTTCATGCATGCAGTGAGGATACCATGGGGTAGTCGTTATGATGCTCCTGAGCTATATGGACTGGCGCCGAACAAGACGGCCAACGTGAAAATTGGCACAGCGGACAACGAGACTATTGGCGCGTGGTTTGTTCTCTCTGAACCATTCTACCAATCACTCCCCCAAATTCCCACTTCTCATCCAATCGATCTCATCCCCGCTGCTCTCAAAGCCCATCCGACCATCCTTTTCTTACATGGCAACGCGGGTACCCGTGCCTACAGAGCTCGCATTCACCATTACACCGCATTTTCCTCGAGACTTCGTGCAAATGTTCTGGCTATCGACTACCGCGGATACGGAGACAGCACTGGGTCCCCGACGGAGGCTGGAGTACTTCGTGACGCTCGAGCTGCATGGGATTGGCTTATCGAACGTGGCGCAACCGCGAGTCAAATCGTCATCGTTGGACACAGCCTCGGGACCGGCATATCCGCGTTATTGAGTGCGGAGCTTTCAGACGAAGGCATATCTCCTAGGGGTGTTGCTCTTTTGTCACCATTCTCGAGCATCAGCAAGGTGTTGGAAACATACCGCATCGCTGGCCTCTTTCCCCCTCATCAAGCCTTTGGCAATGATCCCCTTCGCAACTGGTTAGTCTCTTCTTTAGGCATGATTGTCGTCTGATACTTGTCAGACTTGGTCCAGAAGACCTTGGTCCATAGATTTGATACCGATAGATTGGTCCCTGTAGGCTGATTTTCAGTCTCTTACTCGGAACTTACGCGTCTGCAGAGAATGAAAGGCCCGATTCTGATCGCTCATGCCGGTTTGTCTCCTCTAAACTCTCCAACTAAATTGCTGAAAATGCGATAGAAAATGACTGGGACATCCCATACACTCATTCCGTTGCCCTCTTCGATACGTTCCTCGACCCTTTCCTCCCCATATCGCCGTCTCTTCCTCAGAACGCTGCCGCCCTCTCACATGAAGACTGGTCCGCGTTCAACACCCAGTTGAGTCTTCGCAACTCCGTCCGGGCGGAGCTCATAAGCACTTCTGTGCTGCATAATTTTGGCACCCTGCAACAGTTCAACGACACTGCACACGGGCGGAAGATTCTCTATGTCCAGTCGCTAGCTGGTGGCCATGACTATCTTGGCGTACAAGAGGGCGTACAGGACGCAATCGGAGAGATGTTCCACTTGACAGATCAGGCTTAGATGTAATACCTGCATGGACTTGCTGTTGTAAGCTTAAATTGGGCCATTATTTATTTCCCAGGGGATTTGTGCTTCTAGTAAGGTCTGCAGGCATGCGCGACGACCAGCGTGGGACCTCACGTGTTCTCACGTGGCCGTGCCATACCCACGTCTTCTCAAACGCTCATGTCGACGCGACCACGTCGGCCAGCAAAGCGCCAGAAACTCGAGCAAAACTCCAGCCCGAGCAAGGTCTGCAGGCATGCGCGACGACCAGCGTGGGACCTCACGTGTTCTCACGTGGCCGTGCCATACCCACGTCTTCTCAAACGCTCATGTCGACGCGACCACGTCGGCCAGCAAAGCGCCAGAAACTCGAGCAAAACTCCAGCCCGAGCGACCTTCTAGAGCAGTCGGACGCCGACCGCGACTTCTGGTTCCTGGATGGCAATGTAATTCTCGAAATCGCCAGCCACAAACAGTTTCAAGTCTACAAGGGCGTCCTTCAAAACCTCTCTGCTTTCTTCCGCCGCAAATTCGTCGACAACATGCACTCAAGACTTCACTACGGAGTTGTTCGCCTCCAAGGAGACACCGTGGCCGACTGGACGCACCTTCTGAGTGCGATTTTTCCTGCGGAGTATGTGAAATGATACCACTCATGGCGCCGTACATATGACGCCCGCCAGAGGCCTCAAAGACGAAAATCCGCCGCTGGAGCAGATCCTCGCCGTCATACGTCTCGGGAGAAAATACGAGTTTACGCAGGCCTTCCTGGGCCCCAGTTACCGCCGTCTAAAAGGTGACTTTCCCTCCACCCTACAGGACTACGACGACGTAAGAACGACGTGGAACTATATTCTCGTTCCGGAAACGGAGCCTGCGGATTGGAATGTCCGCAATGTTGATGGCCACGCTATCTTCCACGTCGTTAGCCAAGTGCTCAATCACGCCGAAGATATCGGCCTGCATTCGATTCTGCCAATGGCATACTATTCCCTCCTCGATTGTGATCCAGACCTCGTAATGGTTAGTTCAGTAACCGCTTTTGACATGCTGCTCACTCCAGCTCAGAACGATGACAATTTGAAGCAGGCAAAACGGCGAACATTCTTCCGCGGATACGACAATATACAAAAGGACCCAGACGTTCCACTCAAATGCCTCGAACACGGAAACTTCATCCCTTTAACACGAAAGTGCTCCCAGAGAACGACTGCCAAGTGCGAAAGTACCGCACTCGCTCTATGGCTCAAGCTCTTGCCGTTCAACAAATCGGACTCATCTCACACTCAAACGGTCTCTGTTCTGGATCCCTGGGACTCAGACTGGGACAACGGATTCTGTGAAAACTGTTTGGCGGCCTTGATGAACGAGTACGAGGAACGCAGGGAAAGGTGTTTCGAGAAATTGCCTGGCTGGTTCGGACTAAAGACGTGGGAAACGCTGCACGAGAAGGACTGTATGCTTGGATAACCATGACGACGTTTCAATATGGGTGCGGGTGGGAGAGGAAAGATTCAAATGAGCCCCAGTTCGTTGCTCATCTTCCTATTCGAGTACTCATTCTGACCCTGAGGCAAGAAAAAGGTGTATCCCCAAACGATGATGCAAGTACGTGAACAACGTTGCAGTTCAACCAATTTACTCCAAATCCTAATGCATACAAGTGAGTCGAGATTCTGCAAAAAAAAAATCAAAATACAGACTTCGACATCGTCAACCGGGTCCTCGATGGCCGAGTCGTCCTCAAACTCTGCATCGTCTTCTGAAGGCTCGCGGGCGGAAACTTTGTTGGGAGTGTGATGTGGGCCGCCCTACAGAAAAGACGGTTAGCTGCGAGTTCATCGAACAGGAAATGGGCGCCGCACGAAGAGATAGTTAAACCCGAGGCAGTTGACGTCAACCCCGAACGCATCGCCGTCGCGCGCGAATACCGGACGGGCGCTGACGGAGACCGAAAGGGCAGCAAAGATAGCGACAAAGATGGTGGAAGCGTGCATGGCGCAAGTTGGGGAATGGGATTTGTTGAAGAAAGAGTAAGGTGGAGCAAAGGATGGGCGAATGAAGTGGGGCGGCGAGCGCGTCAAGCGAAAAAAATCAAGCGGGGGACGTGGGGGGAAGGAAGAAAAACAGAGATGATGACTCTATTTTTGGCGCGAGGCTTTTATGCGTCAGAGTGAAAGATCCCGCGTTGATGATCAGGGTTCGGTTCTGGAGATACTCAATAGTCTCGGTACAGCCTGCCGCGAGTCGGCTCCAGCTCGTTGAGGGATGATTGTTGGAACTTTCAGTGTTTCAAACAACTCCATGAATGAATACTACGATCCCAACGAGTCGGAACGACCTTTCGCTGGCGGGTCTTTCCGAGTCAATTAAAGGTAGTACTTGAGAGAGGTCCTAAGAGGATTCAGAGCCTCTCTGTGGCTCCGCAATACGTGGTTCTCCCAGGGACATAATAATAACTTAAGTACTGTCCAAGTCCTCCTAGTATTGCGGCCAGCCATGAAACGATTCTGAGTCAAAGGCCTACATGAACAGCTTACTAAATGCAAGTGGGCGTTCAGGTTGACTCACCACACCTCGTGTGTATAAATAAGTACACAATGAGAAAATCTCACTGATTCTCCTTGTCCGTGAACTCCCACCAACCGCCAGTGGTCCGCCACATCCCAACTAAAGCTCCGAGTCTGATGCAACGTGGTTTAGTATCATAAAGAACACGTTGCTGTTTATCCTAGTCGTGGTCATGTCAGGACCCGAGAACTTGAATCACATTCAAGTTGCGAGTGCCATGGACTTCAAGTTGGACTCGGACACAGGCACAATTCAGAAGAACAATACTAGTAAAGTATGGTTCGCCGATGGAGACATAACGCTCCAAGTCGACAACTGCCAGTTTCGAGTATACCAAGGCGTACTTTGCAGAATCTCTGTCAACTTTCGGCGTGAGTTTAATCGGATGAGATTATGGGACTCGAGCGGCACAGAGATTGTAATGAAGCTGGGACGAGCTTCAAGTTCGTAACCAGGACTGCTTTCCACCAGCGGTCGCGGAATCAAGAGGAACATTTACTGTATGATATTCACGGAGAACTTTCTAGTCCACAAATGTAGACAAGCTCCAGCAGTGTCCGAGCTGTTTTGAAGAAAGAGAGACCCGTAACACCACAGCTAGTGTTTGACTGAGTGCCCATTTTCACGTGAGAATGTCGCGCAGCACATCCCGCAGTTGTTCGATTTCCTCTCTCAAGTCTGGTCGCTCAGGGATACAGTTATCGCAGTCGGGTACTAGTCCTTCTTGTCCATTCAACATGAACCCTGCCTGGAAGAACTTCGAAACGGCGGCATTCGGCAGCCCGTGCTTGCCGTCACAGACGAGTACCGGAGGAGAACCCCTGTCCCAAATAACGGAGTGGCCGATCCCAACAGTTGCGATGGTATTGTTACAAGCAAAAAGTGCAGCAACATCGGTGAGCGTGCGAGGGTCTGTGGTCGCAAGTTGATTCGTTTCAGTTCCTGGACGAGGGAACAGAATGTGGACATCCCTAAGCAAGGGAAAACGTGCAATACTGTCAAGAAGTTGAGTGGAGATTGTCTGGGAGGCGGAATGAGAAACATTATTGTCGGGGCAAAAGAAATTATACCTCATTTTGCCCATAGGCTTGCCATTTCCACTCGAAGCCGAACTGCGTTAGCTTGGTCGCATCACATCGTTCAAGGATAGTCTGGACATCAACGGCGTCCACACGACCAAACCCCACCCGTAGACTTGTCAGGCGAGACAGAACTATTTGAAACGCTTCCGCGTGCTTGATTATCTTTGTGGTTTGTGGATTGGCGAGTAACTGCTGCACTGAAATCCCTGCCGGTAACAACACACGCTCATCGACCCATAAAGTTGTCAGATGCGGCAGGTTGCTTATGAACCGCGACACAAGACCATGGTATTGTCGGCCGTCGTGATCCCATCCGTTGGTATCTTGACTAGGAGACCAGTGGTGGCGAACCGAATTCTTGGTCCCGTCCTTGATCTCCAAAACGCGTAGGGAACTCATTTCCAATGGGGCCAAGGCACCGAAAAGACGGATGTCTGGGAAGGCTAGCCACCAGATACTATTGACGAGAATCAGAAAAGGGGGACCAAGAAACGAAGATAAAATGACCTGTATCGCACATCTAGGTAAAGCTCGGTTAACAGTGAGCAATTAACCATGTTCAGTGGTCCAGTTCGCAGAGCTGACAACGTCTTATCGCAAACAACAAGCTCCAGAGAGCGAACAGAAGGAAAACCGAGGAAGGGGAACTCGTAAGTTGGTGTCGCGCCCATCGCTGGTGAGCCACCTCCACCCCAGTCCCATACACCCTCTGTTATGTCCAGCGCAAGCCTGCGCAGCTTCGTGTATGTTTTGAACTCGTCCACTTTAGTCTTCATGATACCAAACATGGTTTGGTTTATGTGTCTGAGCTCCAACGAGAAAAGCGATGGACCGATGGTCGTGTCCATGCTTGAGACTCCGTTCAAGGTTCAAATCTCAATGAGAGAAAACGCACTCACTCCCAATTTTCGGCGTCAAATTTTGCGCTCAGTTCTCCAGGCGCCGCATAGTCTCCCCCACTAGCAGGAACCCCTTGCTCGCTACTGCATCGTGCACAATCAGTGCTAAACTGTTCAAGCCATTCCAACTTTGCCAAAGGCGTTAGAATATCTGAGTCCAGTCGCAGACCCGGATAACCATGGTAGTCAAGCGAGCGGAGATTACGTGCCACCCCGAGCAGGTCCACAATTCTACCCCGCAGAGCTAAAATGCTGGCTGGCGGGTTGGGCTGATCACGGCTCTCCAGCGATTCGTGTTCAAGGCGAACAACAAGTTGGCGGAGGCGGTAGCCGTGGGGCTCCGTTTCTTCAGCGGGGGTCGTGAGGAGGTAGTCGAGGATATGATTTGACGCTGTGGTTACCCGTGGGTCGAAAGAGTCGAGGTTGACGGGAAGTTGCCACAAACGGTCAACGGTGGTCAGAAAAAGTGGGTGAGACTTCGGGAACACTCGAAAGAGCGTGTAGATGGTAGCAGGGTCATGAATGTAGGTTAGGATGGTCGCAAAGACATCCGTGTCCAGCTTGACCATGGGAAATTTCGGAAAAGTCGTTGGGACGAATTTGGAACGAATCATGATGAAGAACTTGAATCGGTTTCCCATGAGCTAGCTGTAGTCTGTAAGCGCTGTGCGGTAGAAACATTTTGGACTATTGTACAAGAGTGATCATGAGGTATTCGGTATTCGTGTGACAATCGAATTCAAGACTGCTATGGCTTTCTGTCGAATTCAGGAAATCTAAAAATTAGCTCTCTCCCAGTATCTATAGTTTCATCTAGCCCTTGGTGGCTCTCCCGTAGTTGTCTCCCACCCCTCAGGTATCGTCCAATTCCCATGACAGTCATACGCCCAATCCGCCTCCCCGATAATCTTCTTCTGAGCCTTGACAAACGTTTCGACCGAGCACATTCCGTCTTTGTGGGCCGGACAACCTTCAATTCCAGTCAGTGGCACCGGTGCATCATTCACAACGACGCGAATTTGTGGGCCGGGAACGGAGGTGCACTCCAAAACTATGCAAGTTGAGTGATAGTTGACGGATATGAGCATGACGCACGTTGGAAGTGAACATTGGTCGCAAATGGTGCCAGTTTAGACGACCTGAAAGTGCGGTTCTTGGGAATGTGGTCAGCAGGAAGCGGTCCCTGCGCTGCCAACGTCGAAAGATTGAGTGCCGTCAAGACTATAACGATTCAGCATCGGTTTTGAGCAATAGCAGAATATATGAGAACCTTGTAGCACAACAACCTCGTGTGTTGCATCCACGTAGAGGCTCTGACCAAGCGGGAAAGTTATCGGATTATCATTCAGAGTGGCGTTGGTCGAGAAGTTGTGGATCGGAATGGGGGTATGAGTAAGCCGCGCAACAAGCTCTTGTACATAGCCAATGCCGAGAGAGCGACCGAGGGCATAGCCAAAGGAAGAAGTGTACCAAAAGTAAAGATCCAAGCTTTCTTTCTGATTAGCAGGTCACTCGCGAAAGAGAAAACAACGAACGAGTAATCAAAACCTTCCCATTCATCCTCAGTGAACAATTCGCAGAACTTGGAGTAACCCAGCGCGACGGTTTCATATGCGCAAAGTTGCTGCATAATGTATACATCCTCAATTGACAGCTTGAAACCATCAAGTTGAGGTTGTAGTCGTTTCCGGGCCTTCTCGAGGTATATTGAAGCCCATTTCGCGACATAAGGACGACCACGATCGGATATTGAGGCGACGTAGGCATTTGGGCAACTATGAGGTTTTGAGGAGATAAGACGGCAGTGAAAGACGAATAACCACACGTTTTATATGGTGCAAGGGTGTTGTTGACCTAAACATTTATATTAGTCCACGTCAGTCAGGTTCGGGGAGATGGACGTACACCATTTGCCTCGATGGTAATGCTTTGTTGATATTGCCCCTCGAATGGATACCCAAAGAAGCCAATGGCAAAATTCAACGCAGATGCAAGCATTCGGTCTCTGAGAAATAGGTTAAGAAAGTCCTATCGCTGGAAGTGACGCGTACTGGGACTCGGTCCGGAAGACGGGAATGGTGTTTGACTCGGTGAAGTTCTGGCAAAGAATAAAATCACATATCGGTAGACTTTTCTTTGGTGACAGACCTTGAGAAGGAATCCATACTTCAGCCGAGTAGATATGCCAAGGTCGACTGCGCTGAATGAGAACTACCCACAGAAGTGAGATGAACATACAAAGTTGCTGACGTCCAAACGGCGTTAGAACTGGGGATTGCGTTAGTTCTAAAAGTAGACGCACGTTGAGCACTTACCCTCTTCGCCAAGCTTGTATGTCCTATATGGGTTGAAATTTGACATCTCAGGACAGACAGCACGCACCAGTCATTGAGAAATTTGAGGTCCCCGCTCGCTGTCCAGTTAGCAGCAACGTGATTCAGTCTGCTGGCCAGCTTTGCAGGGCCACCATACGTGGCTGATTGTGTGAGTCGATTTATTATGAATGACATAAAACGCACCATAGGCAGTAGGATACCTCGCTCCATGTCGGTGAAGGAGATGCAAGCCAGTTACTCGACACGTTTCTGGGATTTCGGGGCCAGAATCCAGTCCAAACGCTCCCCGCTCGACACTGTACCATGGCGATAAGTTCCCCCACTTTCTGAGGAGGTTGAAACTCTTGTTGCTCGACTCTGGAGTGACGAGAACGGCGGCAGCGGTGTGGAGGGGATAAGCGGGTGCAGTGACAATGACCGCTGCCTCCGCGCCAGTAGGAGTTCCTCCAGGATATCCGACATCCGTAGGAAATAACGATGGAAAAGCGTTGGTTGGGGATGGGGGAGGGAAGTTGTGTCGTTCCGTCGAGCCGGCGTTGGGATTAGCCAAGGCAGCGACATTGGTTGAGGTGGATTTCGGATTATGACTATCTGCTTTATAGGTGAAGCAGGTGGAGCCACAGATCGCGTATTGTGTGATGAAGCAAGCAAGCGTCCCTGCAACGAACGCAGTGAGGAGGTGGTTGAAGTTAAAGCGTGGCCTTGTGTAGGGAGAGTGTGGCGCGAGATACTTGTTGGTCTGCTCCCCCTTCGTAGACGTTGGCGATGGCAGCAGCGACTCTCGCTCAAATGATTCTCGCCCACCGTCCATGACGGATGAGGCAAGAGTTTAGTGTGGGAATATTCAATGCTCGCGGTACCGTGACCTTGCTAGTCTCGATTCCAGACGTTCAGCGAGCGGCGTGCGAGCGAAGCTCGCGGAACAGCAACTTGACGTTGCCGGGGCACAATTTGATGGGGGGTGTGATGAAATTGGCCGCTCTTGAACGGATTTCGCTGGCGTGATGGGTGATGGTACATCCCCGCATCACGTCCGGCATGTCTCCCGCTGCCCTTTAAAGATCTGGGACCGAGATTATGACCTTGCTCGACGACGTTTGCTTTTCGAACGCATTAAAACAGCCACGTGGTCATTATAAAGGTGTTAGCATTCACAGAACCTTCAGCACATTACTGGTGGTAGCAGAAAGCCAGACTCGAAGCCAGAGAAGCTTGATTTTTTGTTGGACTCGAATGACCGTGACGTTACTGCTCAAGCCCCCGGCGTATGCGCTAAGATGTTCGATCCGATTTGGTCAAATTTCGACACGGCTGTTTGGCTTTAGAACATCCGCATAAGGATCTGCTTGCCTGTTTATTCTGCGTCGACATCCGCACAAAGATCGGAGTTTCTCAGCAGCACCAGCATTATTTTGGTCATATTTGTCTGCACAATGGATCGAACATAGAAAACCGAGCTACTACCTTGATACTATGAGCTGATTGAAGCAGAGTTTTCGGGAAATATGAGTATGATTTGGCTCAAATTTGGATACTGTGAGAGAACACGAAGGATTACAAGAATCTAGGGACCGCATACTGCTTTTGAGGCCCTTGGACGTCCGCATTGCGATATGACTTGAGCACCAGCAGCACAATCCGACCTCGGACATACAAAGCAAAAGGACCCATTTTCGGCGCATAAATATCGTACATTAGAGCCTTTTTTGGACGACTTTCGTCCACATAACTATCGAACATCTTAGCGAATACGCCGGGGGCCTGCGACGATGGACCGCTTGTTGACTGCTTCATTGTCAATGACCTGTCTACATGGATGTGGACAAAGTACCTGTCTAGAATGAAAGTGGCTCAAATTTGGTTGTAAGTTTACTGTTTACGCCAATTAAACCCTCAGGCCACTTGACCGATTTCAAGTTTGCTGGAGCTACTAGAATGTGCAAGAGCTCTCAAAGTTAAACAAAAAGCAGGTGATGACAGCCTTCAGCTTGTCTAATCATAAGTTTAAAGTATTGATAGTTTGGTTAGGGTTAGGGTTAGGGGTTGAGGTTAATGTTGTTGGGAATGACTTCAAGGCTTGTTCGGATCTACAGTTGTTCATGGGGATCTTCAGCAGTCAGAGTCTGCTGAGAACATCACGTCTTCTCTTTATGCACATAGAAACCAGATAGTATAGGTACCATAAAATTTTGGAAAACACTGACAAATCCAAGTCAATTTTTACTTGCACTGATTCATTGTGTGTAGATGATATACACCGCCAACGTATTATTTCCTAATTTAATGCATCGTCTTTCATCTTCTTTAACAGCATCCAGCTTGGCAAATCGAATATCTTGGGCAACCGCTCCCAAAACGCGTCCTTCGCTGCACCAAAGTGCGCTTTCATCACCGAAAGACAGGTGTCGCAGACATCGAGACGCTCCCAGTCCTTGTCGTCCCATATGTCCAGTGGGAGATTCGGGAGCAGGTCCAGCGTGGTCAGCGTGCCCCAGCCGAGCGTGACCTTGCGAAACGACAACCGCTCTAGGTCGCACGCATCGCCCACACACCCGTCAATTGACTCGGGCGTCCAGAAAAAGTCGAGCAACGCGTTGTTTTCCCTCCCTTCTAGCAGCCGATGCCCGTTGAGCCATCTCTGCTTGTCCTCGACAGACAGATCAGCAGTAAATATGAGGTCGTGAATGTGGCTTTGGCACAGTCGGTAGAACGCGAACGGGAGCAGCCAGTCCAGTGAAAGGCGGCGAGCAAGAGCAACAACGTCGGCGCCAGCGTCATATAAGCTGTCTATCAGGGTGTTGTCATCGGCGGTCGGGAGCGCTTTTAACTCTTCAAGGGTCATTGGATGTGCGAGCGACAAGTGGCCCAACGCTCTAGCACGAAGACCGTCTACTCCATACTTGTCACTCATCCGCAAGACACTGGAGACCACACGGAACGTTGTTGGGTGCGGGTGTGCTTGGAAGAAACTGATGTTGTTCAACGTCTAAGTCGTAACAAGGCAAGATGATAACAGACGCACTCATAAAAGAACAATGCTTTGAAGAAGTATGTCATATCTTCGGCGGTGTCTGGAATACGGACAAGCGGACAGCCCTCCAGCGTTTCCGCGTCCGAGGGAATTGGCAGCAGAAGCATGTCGCGGAAAACTGGAGACTGTCCAGCGAGAAAGTCGCGCGAGACGCGATAAACCGTGTTTTCAGCTTGTATTACAAGCCCACAGTCTTCCCACCATAGACCTTCTGCTCTCTGGATTCCAGCGAACGGCGAGACGGGATCCAAGTCCATGGTTTCAATCGCGACTTGGAGGTGATGTTGTGGTCATGAAGACAAAGTCATATTGTCACGTGATCTCATCAGCATTTCTTAGTAGCCACGGCGCTACAATCAAACTCAATATTGAATATTCCGGTTCCACTGCGCTACACGGTCGGACAGCAACTAAGCTTTCTTTGCTCAAGCGCAGACCAGCTTGGCAAATCAAATATCGCCGGCAGCCTGTCCCAGAATGAGGAGAGTGCGACGGAATGCTCTGCCATCATCGTCGCAAGACAATTATTGCAGACCGCCAGCCTTGCCCAATCGCCATGGTCCCACAGGTCCAACGGAAGTTGGCGCATCGCAGTCTTGGAGCCAATTATTCCCCAGGTCTCCGCCTCCTTCCGACAAGCCAGCCGCTCCTCTGAGCACTTTATCTTGGAGGTGCACCCGTCAATCGTCCGCGGCGTCCAGAGGAAGTTGATCATCTTGCTATTTTCCGTTCCTATAGGTATCTAGGTAAGCGGAGGCTGACTGGAATGGCGTGTGTACCTTCGAGCAGCCGCAAACCAGTCAGCCAGCGTTCCTTATCGGCGAGCGCCAGCTCCGACGTGAAAATGTGCGGATGGGGATTCAGTTCGCACAGCCGGTAGAAAGCAATTGGGAGCAGCCAGTCGAGCGATAGCTGGCGGGCGAGCACAACCATTTCGGCACTGGCTTGGTAGAGGCCGTCGATGAGTGGATTCTCGCCCTTTCCAGAAGGCAGAGCTCTGAAATCACCGAGCGTGGTGGGGTGGACCGCGGAGAGATGGGCCAAAGCTCGGGCCCGCAGACCGTCTACTCCGTATTTGTCGCTCATTCGCAGGACACTCGCCAGTATAGGAAAGGTCGTGGGCAATGGGTGGGGTGGGAAGAAGCTGGCATTAGATTAGTAGGGCACACAACGCCGCCATCAACTCACTCATAGCGCGCCAGAGCGTTGAAGAAATTTGTTGCATCTTCAGCCGTGTCCGTGAGACGAACAAGTGAGCAGCCCTCGAATGTCTCCGCATCCTCCGGTAGTGGGAGGAGCAGCATGTCGCGGAAAACTGGAGAATGCATTGCCAGAAAGTTGCGTGAGAGACGATAGACTGTGTTTCCGGCTTGCAGCACCATTCCACAGTCGTCCCACCATAGACCTTCTGCTTTTTGTGGACTACAAGCGGCCACGTCCATAGGTTGAGAAAGAAGGGTCCAAGACCAAGACAAGCATCGTTGAGTGTTCGTAAGCTTCGCAAAACCACGTGGTCGCACCGGAGTCAAAGATTCAGAAATTTCATCCTATCCAACTTGCAGCTTCCTTGTAAATAATGTGTACATAGACTACGTGACGGCAAATGCCGGTAATATACAAAGCAATTCGATAGCGATGTGCAGTATTAATCCTCGCCGAAGTCGATCGCGTGGTTTTTGGTGAAGAATAGGGTCGGAGATCGAGGTACGATGGATGAAGATGCGTGGCTTGCGGGAGAAATGCGACTGGAGGACGGTGTAATCGATGGTGAGGCAGAATCAGACTCATTCGTGAACCTCGCCTTCAGTTCAACAAGTCGTTGAAGGCCACCCGGCAGGTTGCCAGCAAAGAGTTCTTGGATAGCGTTCTCAAGTTCCCCGACAATATGACCTTTTGAAGGAGATCCTTGCTGCGAAAGGGGAGCTCGAGCCTCGAGAGCCGCCAAGCGCGCTTCCGTCGCGGTCAAACGACTGGCGTAGTCGTTGTTGAGTCGGAAAGGATCTGAAGTTGTTGCCGCTGGAGAAGATATCGACTCTCCAGCATGCGTTCGGTGGGAGCGGCGGAGGAGCTCAACGGGTATATCTATTTTTTCCGCTGGAGCTCGTTTTGGGCGGGTACTGCTGGCGCTAATTGAAGCACGAGCGGTAGTCGTTTTCGGACGCTTAGCGACGGGAGTCAATTTAGGCTCTGGCGCTAAACGTTTGGCGGGAGTGTGAGTGGGAGGTCGAATAGCGACCGGCTGCTCGTCTGGTTCCGGGAGTGAAACGGTAGGGCCGTCTCCGGGATTTGAAGTAATGAGTCGCCCAGGTTTCTTCTCTTGTTCAAGCTGGGTTTTCGGCTCACGTCTGAACTCCACATTGACAATATCTGAGGAAATTGTCTCCGTCTTCTGGATCCTTCCTGATATCATCCCCGCACCCAGCTTCAACAGCACTTCTGCGCGCTGCCACGAAAGACCGAATTTATTACGGATAGCCCAGGTATTGAATATCTCCGAGCGCGAGCATACGCGATGTTGAGTGTTGCAATATTGGCATCGAATGCGGTTGGCCGCGCTGCATTCCTGCTTTGTGGAAACACACAGTGTGCAGGCTTGCTGAGTTTATTAATGAGCATTGGCATATGGTGGAGAGTAACACACACCGAGTGGCGCGTCACGAAGAATTGGGGGCTCAAGGCTTGGACGAGGGGAGATGTGGGGCGCCGGAGTTGTTGGACAAGGCTGATAAGTTCGCTGGACAAGACTTCTTTGCCATCGTCTTCTTCGACATCCGAGTTCTCTTGCCCATCGACTATTGCAACCGCTGGCGCCGTCAATGGCACTGGGTTTTCGGAACCTGACATGGTGGTGGTCGCCAGAAGAATTAGGTTTGTGACAGTGCCAGTACGACCCCTGTGATGGATGGGATTCAAAGCTACTTTCCTCTTCTCCAATTCAAATCGCAAAACAAGGTTACAAATTATTTACAAGGCCCAAAATGCTGTTTTTTTTTCTTACTATGTATCTCAATCAATAATTTTTCTTAGTGAGACTGGGTATCGTCTCAGGCTCTTGACTGATTCGGAATATATGCAGGATCTGCATTATTGAGGATTTGAACTTGGAGTAAGCTATAGAGAAGAGTGGACTCACATCTAAACCATGCAAGTACCAAGTTTCAACTGAACCAGTATGTTCGCCACCTCCAATTCTATATTCGTCGACATTGGCAACTTGAACTGGTCAACATGACTGTTCTCCTGAGGCTCCAGAGTTAGGTCCGACTTGGAGTCCCAGTTTTCTAGCTGTGGTGATTGTAACAGGCTGATCTCCTTTTTATCCGAGTCTCTTGTGTTTTCAACTTTTTGAATACTATATTTCCACACAAACTGATAGTGTTGCTTCACCCAAGAGCAGCCTGTATGCATTCTGTGACAATAGTTGCATGCAATATGCTTTATATTGTTTGACATCTGACATGCCAGACCTTGCATCTCGCAGACTTCGCATTTCTTTATTAGAGTGAGTGAACACTGATCAGAAAGTTGAAGAATATGTACACACTTGATTGCCCACAGTCAACCCCTGCGAAACTTTTCGATACTGGCATCAAATGCCGCAGGATTCTGGCAGCGCCATTTCTTGACCATCACTTTGATTTTATCCATATCCATTGGCAGAATTAGACTATGGTTGCCTATAGTGTCTTGAGCTAGTGCCTGGTTACTGGTAGAGGCATCTGAGCAGATACCTTGGTGGCTGGTCTTCAATGAAAAGGGTGTTCTTTGTTTATTGGAATGTTGAGGTAGCAGATCTGCACTCAGCTGACCCTGAGTAGAACGGGCAGTGGCTAAGGCTGTATGCTTTCTGGAGGTTGTTGGTGAATCCTGGCCATGAGGCTTGGCTTTCATTGTGGTTATAGTGAAAACAGAGTGGAACAAAGAGTCACGGCCGGGCATCAACAAACAACTGAAGGGTAGGCCATAATTGATGATAATTCCAACTTCAAGGTTTCAAGAAAATTCTATTGTATTTCTGTTTGGCCATCCCAAACAACTACATGAAATATATTCCCCCACCATCTACAATCCATATTCCCACCCTGCAGCATACATGCTCCATCGTCACGACATATCTCACCATCCAACTCAACAGCCTCAACTAATTCTGCCGCTAAGGCGACAGGGAGCTCTTCCTCCTCTGCAATTTCTGCGGTCGTTCGAGGTCCAACGAGTGCCAGATAGCCAACTAATCGAGCTGCAAATGCGGCTGGTGCATACGACGGCGTGTGGAGAACGCACAATCCAGAGGGCAGTGACCTTGACCCAATGGGGGGCTCGGTTGCGGCGGCAAGAAAAGGAATAGCTTGTAAAAGGGTTGCGGGTGGTAAAAGCGCTGAGGGACGTTAAACACAAAAAGGGAAAGTAAGTCTGCTTACCAACACCTCGAGCACGATTCCAGCCACCCCAAGCCTCATCCAGCGCGATAACATTTCGATTTCGCATCAATCCCTTTCCTTTGCCCCCGCCACCTTGTAAAACTATCGCAAGCTCACGAGCCAGACTTTCCAACCATCTTCTTTCGTCCTGTACCATGTCCTGCGTAACCGGTGCATCTGTTATTTGAAGACCTAGTTGTGCGAGTGAGCTGCGAATGAAGGTGGCCTCTTCGGGCTCTGCTGAGGTCGATGCGAGCGGATTCGTGGTGTTGGTTATGATCGTTAATTTCTCGTTGAGATCGGCTGCTAGGCGAACCATGTCAGCGGCTTTGATCATCAGGGCTTCCAAGTCCTGGAAGGCTTCGTTCATGTTGGCTGAGCGTCCCTCCACTGTGGACTCTACTGTCCTGAGAATTCCATCTGCCACAGCATTCGGCGGAGGAGTATGAAATGGTGAATAAAGCACTGACTGATTCCTGAGGTATTGGATGGTTCGCCTGAAGCAGAAGACGAAACGATGCGAGCGACATTTTCCTCCATGAAGGTTCAATTAGTTGGCGAAGTCGAGTGAAGAACACATACTACGACCCATGCTTTACTCTTGAGGGAACGCCTCAACACAGCATAAAATGCCTTGTCGCCGCCCTTTCGAAAGCTCAGCTTGATTAAACGAGCGGTTTCGTCGTTGTCGTCATCTAGATCGGGAGACGCTGGCCTGGATGAAGGTGCCGACTGGGTTGCTGACATCGATGGGGGAGTTGGTAATCCTGTTCCGCAAATTTCGCAGGTACGTAGGGCTGGATGATTTAAGAATGTGCAAGCAGGACATGGCCGTTCCGAGGTGGATATGGCGGAGGGTAAGGAGGTGGAAAGAGTTGGGGCAGAAGACGAAGAGGGAATCGAGTCTCGTGGAACGCCACATAGACCACAGATTCGCGCAGCCGCTGGACTTCGGCCTGGCGGGTTTCTGTATCCACACACTTCACACTCCCAGCTCGCAAATGGCTCTTCTACCTCCGGTGATGACTGTATAGTTCCAAGCTGGATGGAAAGATAGAGTGTCACTTTCGCGGAGGATTTGAATAGTCCAGCATAGTAGTCCGTTTGATTAACGAGATCGAGGTCGAGTGCGAATGAGTTCACACGGGGTTTCGGGACGGATATGAAGAAAAGTCGGTGTGTTGTGACGTGGACGGTGCCCAGCTGGTGGTTAGGGCTCTTGTGCGCGCTGAATTGCTTCAGTAGCAAACGGAGAGCATACAAGTTGCTACCCTTCGTAGATCCCCAGACCGTCCTGACTTGCAAGTAGTTGCTCGTCATTGTACAGCAGAGCCTGTACCGGAATGGTGCCGTCGACAGACTTGGTGCAACGGCGAAGGGTCATGACAGAATGAGCGCGACGCGTCGATTGACAGAAACTCGGAGGTAACGTGTGACTCATGCCATCATCACTTGTCCTTCTTCTCTTGATCCCTCGACCAGACGCGTTGCCCACCATGGTGGCTTGAGTTGCCGCGAGCTCCGGCTACTCAAGCATATATGTACCATGGAATCCAGCGAAGACCTCCAAAATAATGAGCTCTTTGCCCTTCAAACGATCTACGAAAACGATTTCATTCAAGCACCCCCCAGAGCCTGGCAGGTGAGCCGCATACTGTCTGACCTGTAAAAAGAGAACTTTATGTACTTCTAGGGTGCAAACCATCTTAAAGAATGCACGATATGCATACGCCACCCCCACGATGCCCACAAAGATAAAATTCTATTCCATCTTCACGTCATGTACGCCTTCCGCGAGACATAGAAAATGGTCATCGTTGAACGTTACTTCCAGGTTCCCCAAGACATATCCGCTTAAAGCTTCGCCTATCCTAGATATCAAGAAACCCATTGTTGGTCTGTCGACACAGCAAGTAGCCTCGCTGAACCAAGTTATCCAAACTGAGGCAAGGAATTCGCAGGGAACTGAGTCAATCTTCCAGGTTATTCCCTCTTCTTCTGCCCGCGCTTCTTCTCATGAAAAACTGTAGATTGCTACTGCTAGTCAGGATTGGCTGGAACAAAACGTCGTTCCACCAATCGATGTCCCTGGCTCCCTCGCAAGCCAGATGATGTTGCGAACCTTGGAGGAGGAGAGGGTATGTATCGCTCGTTTCAGACTCCCAGTATTTCATTTCTCCCAGATTCGTAAACAACAAGCGGCTGATATGGCAGCTCAAGAACACGAGGCTCGCGCCAAGCAGACTCAACAACTCGAGGCTGAAGTTAGGGCAAATGCGCAACTCCAGCAGCTTGAGCGCGAACGACAGTATCAGGCTCGCAAACGTGCCAACTCTGAAGCCACCGAAGTTCCTTTAGCAGGCGAAACTCCAACCGAGTCATTCACAGACCCCATCACCATAGATGGCATCGAGTTCAATGTCGTCAGAATCTTCCACCCTCGTGCCGAACGCCTAGGCACAACTTACAGTGCTGACCCAGTGTGCGACGATGTGCATATATCTTTGCCGCTAAACGTCTACGTTGTCGCGTTCGCTTCCCACTACTACATAACCAGCCAGGGAAAGAAAAAGCTCAAGCAAGTTGAAGCCGATATTCAGAAGTTAATATCGATTTGCCACCCCAACCTCCTGCGCGTTTACGCCGTCAAATTGACCTTTCCCCACACGAGCGGATCGCCGCGACTGGTGGTCTTGCACGAGGCACCACCCGCACTGACCCTGCGTGATGTTTTAGATGATTGCGATTTTATCAAAGAAGAACGAGCACTGGTTCGTCCTGGTCGGCTTTCATAGTTGAAAGCATCCTCAAGCTGATTCAGGAATATCTGGTTCAAATATTATCTGGACTGAACGCTGTTCATGTTGCTGATATGTTCCATCGTGGTGAGCGCTTTTTTGTGCTACTTTATCTGCATCGTGGCCAATAAACTTTCCAGGCATCACTGCAGATGCTATTGGCATCATAAATCATACCAAGACCAAAGTAGTCAAGCTCATGAAAGTTGGCTTCTACACGCGCCTACTCGACCTTCATCGTTCCAACTCGTTCGGGAATATATCGGTCGACTCAGAGGACTTTCGCCTTCCGGATCAATGGTATGCTCCAGGATGCTGTTGTGTTCTTCTCTGATTAATCTTAGGCAGTTCAAAGACCTCAAGAATGAATCTTCCTTGGTCTACACGCGGCAGCGCGATATTCATGACGTCGGCGTCGTTCTAATGCAGATGCTTCTGGGTATCGACGTTACCGAGCGGTACCCAGACCCTTTTACGGCGATTCGTGAATGTGGGCTTATCTTATCTGATCACCTCAGCTGACTAATATTCCCAAACAGCAACCCTCTCGCCTAACCTTCAGAAGCACACGACTACTATGCTTCTACTCTCTACGATGCCCTCGTCCTTCAAGAAGAATGGGAATCACATATCTTGCCTATCACTTCTTGCTGACCTTGCTGCGGCTCCGCTTAGTGCTGTCGCAGTCAAGAGCCCCCTTTTGCCGTCATCTTTCGGTCAGATAGTCTATTTTAGTTGCTCGTCGTTTTGAATATCGAATCTAGATATAAAGACTCCTATGCCGTACGGCTCACCAGAATTAGAATACTTCCACGGACAGGCACCTATGCAAAATAGGCATGCAAGTCGATGGAAAGAAGACTGGGAAGAACTCGAGTTACTTGTTCGTTTTTCTTCACATAAATTTGCTACACTCACCCGTGATCTTAGGGTAAAGGCGCGTTTGGTTCTGTTGTCAAGGCTCGCAACAAGATCGATTCTCGTATCTATGCTGGTGAGCTGGAAACCCTGAACTGTTTTCTCGAAGTCTTGACACAGTATTTCAGTCAAGAAAGTCCGTCTCCGGACTGGCCACAACGACAACAAAATTTTCCGAGAAGTGAATGCTCTTAGTCGACTTTCGCACAGGTTTATTGTGCGATACTTTACAACCTGGGTGGAGCAAGCAGAAGTAACCTCAGCTTCCGCATCGGACACCGAAGAATCAAGTACGGAAGATGGGATGACTTCTGTACCTGGAACGAATTCGCAGCCTCGGATCCGTCGTGTATCGTCAAGTGGGGATCCATTCAACTTCGAATTAGAATTGGAGCAGGACTCGAGGGATAAAGCAATGGGTTCCAGCTCCCGTGGCGGGTTCCCCAGTATACATTTCTCCAATAGCGAGGACGGGGAAGAAAGCGGAGAGAGCGAAGAGAGCGATGAAAGTGACGACAATCCATTCGTCAATCCAAGCGCGGGGAATGGAATCAAGAGTAACGGAATTTTTGACATGACGCCCTTGAACAAGCCATGGCATCCGATAATATCGCGGACTATGTATATCCAGATGGTTCGTCAGGTTTAGACCACATTATCGTCGTGGGTTAACACGGTAGCCAGGAGTTTGTTGAACAACAGACCCTAAAAGAGGTAATTAATCAGTTCAGCCGGTTTAACAGGCTTACATATTGACAGAGGATTGACGAAGGAATCACCGAGCAAGAAGCTTGGAGGCTATTCCAACAGATACTGGAAGCCCTTGTCTATATGTCCTCCCTTGGGATTGTTCGCAGATTTGTTTGATGCTTCGATACGTACTAACTCGTCTGCCAGCTTCATCGGGATATCAAGCTAACCAACATCTTTATTGGTAACCTCTTTTCCCCCTTTCTTCCCAAACAGCTAACAGCTCGAAGATGCAAAGGGCGATGCCAAAGGTGAAGAAGACACATCGCCCCGAAATCAACGCTGAAGATGTTCAAGTGGGCGATTTCGGTCTGGCAACTTCCAACTTGTCTGCCGTAGAAACAACCCCTCATGGACTTCACCCACCTATTTTGGATGCCGAAATGACGCTAGGTTTGCCGTACCGATATTTTGCCATGACTCGATGCTGATGGTCAACAGAGGTCGGCACTAGACTTTACATCGCGCCGGAAGTCCAATCGCGCAAGCGAGGTCCAAGAAATCACGCGAAGGCAGATATGTATAGTCTTGGGGTTTGCTATCCGTCCCCGCTCATTTGTGAAGCTCATACAATTACTCAGATCGTTTTTTTCGAGATGAATCACAAGTTCAATACTGGGGCGGAGCGTATTGCAGTCATAGAAGGTCTGCGACAACCAATGGTGTTATTCCCTTCTTCCTGGGAACCTCGTTTGATTCGGCAGAAAGAAAGTGTGATAAGCTGTGCCGTAGTCTTGACCCTGCCTGATCTTCTTCAGTTATCACCCGTCTACTAGATCACGATCCGGACACTCGACCGACGGCATTAGAGCTTTCGCAGAGTCCACTGCTACCTGCCAGGCTCGAGGATGAGTACTTTAAGGGAGCGCTTGGGATGATGGGTACAACGGCCTGCGATTTCTCAAGATGCTATGCTAATGACCGTGTCCACAGTGAAACCTGACTCGCCACACTATCAAGCCGTGCTCGCTTCGCTGTTCTCACAGAATCAACCTATCTCTCGTCGATTCCTATATGACGTCGAAACGGACCCACCTGAGCATACATCATTGAATGATGTCGTTCAGGAACGACTCGCTTACATCTTCGGCTTACATGGAGCAGTCGATATGGAGCCCTCGCTTCTCATGCCTGTTGTAGGCCCATCTGAGGCCAAAAAGGAGGCCACTTTCGTGGACAGATACGGCGAAATTGTCGCTCTACCGTCCAACCTTCTGCTTCCCTTTGCGCGATTGGCCGCCAGAACCAATGTGGCAAGAATCAAACGCTATCATATCTCTAATGTCTATCGGGAGAGGTAATGTCTTTGTACAATACTTCTATTTTTTGATTGAATTGTGGACCTTACAGCGATGTCGCCGGTCATCCCAAGTCGCAAAAGGCGGCCCTATTCGACATTATCTCGTCCGATGTTCAATCAGGGCCCTTGGCCGCGTCTGCAGAGATCATCGCCATCTCAAACAATGTTCTAGAGAGTTTCCCCAGCTTGAGCGAAAACTACGAAATTCATATATCACACTCTTCCAGTACGCTCATTTATCTGCATTGCTTTGGGCTTAGTTCATCTGCACAGTCGTCAAGATTATCCTGGAAAGAATTCCAGCAGAACTCCGGGGATCGGTTCAAGACATTTTGGGACATTCCAAATCGTCAACTTCTCAGAAACGCGCTTTGATGCTCAAGAAGGGTCTTCTGAGGAGTATAGCAGACGAGCTTGAAGTAGTCGCTGATACAGGCGAGTAACTTGCAATCCAGTCTTTAATCTAATCCAAGGCATCTTACAGACGAGGACATCGAAGCTCTCCTAGTGAAACTCGAAAAAGTATCCCCCACTTTGACGAATCTCATTCGTCCTGTCGTTGAGTCGGTCAAGGAAACTGTCCAATACGCCAACATTGCTGGTGTAACCCGACCCATCCTATTTCACCCGTTGATGCTTGGAACCTATCTGACACATTTCAATGATGGAGTTCTGGTAGAAGTTGTGCGAAAAAAACAAGCCTACAGATGTTTTGGCTGCTGGAGGACGGTATATCCTTTTCTGCGTATTTGCCATGCATTCGTCAAGCTCAATATTCTAGATATGATGCTTTAATTGTGGAACAAGCGACTCCTGGACAGAAACCGGATCCTCTATGTGCCGTAGCTCTCCAAATCGCCGTAGAAAAGATCACCATCGCTCTTGCTGCTTATCAGTCGACCACTGTGCGAGCCCTGGTGAAGCAGGAGCGGTCTTTTGGCTTTTGGAGTCCTCGTCGTTGTGATGTCTACGTGGTGTCCTATCAAGAAGGGTTCCTCCAAGATCGACTTGAAGTTGTCGCGTTTCTCTGGCAGCACAACATTAGCGCCGACTTGATGTACGAGGCAAGTACTTCAGAGGAGCTGGAGGAACAGTGTCGACGAGAGGGTATACTGTGAGCCACTGTCTTTCTTTTGTCTTTTGGTTTGGGTAACTGACATATGTTTCAAAATCCAGATTCTCAGTCTATCCCCGCCCGAGAACGGGTCGCCGCGACCAGGTAGCATTCAAGGTCAAAAGCATGCTCAAAGGCACCGAATATGATGGTATGCGGAATCTTCAGAACGATACATTGAATTCAACTACTTTCGGATAGTCTCAAGACCAGAACTCGTCGCATGGCTTCAGCAGCAGATATCAGAACAGAAGCGTATCGACGTAACGACGACTGGTGCTCCTCGATACTCTGATGTTGGCATAACGCATCCTGCTCCCAACAAGGAAGTTGCGACCGCATCTGGCGTCCAGTTAATCCTCCCTGTCGATATCAAGAAACAACGCAAACAAGTCAAACATATTTTCATGGAACGAGGTGAGTTTCTGCGTCTTATGATTGTAGTTACTGAAAGGCCAACAGCATTCGAGACCGGCCGTGAAGTCGAGGCAAGCGTTCAAGCAGGGATGCCCATCGTCGCTGTGGACGTCCCCCCTGCTGTATTCGACGTCATGATTAAGAGTGCAGCATGGCTCACAGACGATGAAGTTTGGAAGGTTCTTGCTGGGATGTTCCCCGTTCAGCAATGGGCATATGCTCAACAGATAAGGGATTCAGTGTTGAAACGCAAGGCCGAGGGACAAGCATATATTTTCCTCTTCGCTGTGCGCGAAGAGCGAATGCAGTTACTAAAGCTGGTGGGAAGCTAGAGAGCAATCGATTTGTTTGGCGTATTACTTACGGTGTTTTTCTGCTTGCTATTGAATATTAGAGCAAACGACCCATAAATTTCAACCTTTTATCAGCCAAGACCCGAGACTGGGTGGTTCACTGCACCTAAAGTTTGAGTTGGAAGACTGAAGAAATTCAAAATGACCTTTTGACCTGTGACATCGCTTCATCAATATTAGTCATCAGGATCATTGTGATGCATCACCGCCCTCTTTCACTCCTCACACCACACCTCTCCGGTGCCCTTCAGAACTCTCCGTCGTCAATCTTTGCTGAAGAAAAGCACTTTCAATGTCCGAGATTCGTCGCAAGCTGGTCATAGTTGGGGATGGAGCGTGCGGAAAGGTGAGGTGTTTGTCGCCTCTGGGAGCCAGCGCTAACGACCTTATCCAGACCTGTCTGTTGATCGTCTTCTCGAAAGGCACCTTCCCTGAGGTGTGTATTCGCATTCTAGTACATGCTCATACTGATAAGGGTCCAGGTTTATGTCCCCACTGTCTTCGAGAACTACGTTGCGGACGTCGAGGTTGATGGTAAACACGTCGAGCTTGCTCTTTGGGATACCGCTGGCCAGGAAGACTACGACCGTCTCCGTCCTCTCTCATACCCTGACTCGCATGTTATCCTCATCTGTTTCGCTGTGGACAGCCCCGACTCGCTTGACAACGTCCAGGAGAAGGTCGGCCCTAAACCCTTGGTATTCGTCACACTGCTGACACTGCCTTAACAGTGGATTTCCGAAGTTATGCATTTCTGCGCCGGCCTTCCTATCATCCTCGTTGGCTGCAAGAAGGACTTGCGCCGGGACCCCCGTGTGATTGACGAGCTGCGAAAGACGAATCAGCGACCCGTCACACCTGAGGAGGTATGTTTACTTCTTGGGTTCCTTGCCTCCCCTGCTCACACGACAACAGGGAATGGCTGTCGCCCAGAAGATTGGTGCCCGCAACTATCTCGAATGCTCTGCCAAGTCCGGTGAGGGTGTCAAGGAGGTTTTCCAGTATGCGACACGGGCCGCTCTTCTCAGCAACAAGCATAAGCCTCGCGGCAGCAAGTGCATCGTATTATAAACAGTTTCATACCCGCTATTTACTAGTCCAATGTCCTCCATAACCTCTCCATAACGATTCTACTTTTTCCCTTTTTCTGGAAACATGCGCGTGACATCCAAATTTGACTCATTTGTCCTATTTCTCCCTCGCACATCCATGTTCTTGCGACCCAGGGCCTCTTTACGGCCAACGCGCTTGCGCTCTATCCGAGCTATTTCGCGTTCCACAACTGTTGGGGCTTCACCAGCAACCGTCCGACCAGCAGCAGGCGCTACACCAGCCCCAGCTTTCCAACAGGTTCCACAAGGCTCCACAACCAACTATGGCCTGCCTCCAAATGAACCACTCGACCATTCCTTCATCGGACTCACCGGCGGTGAGATCTTCCACGAAATGATGCTACGACATGGCGTCAAGCAAATTTTTGGCTATCCCGGCGGCGCAATCCTCCCTGTTTTCGACGCCATCTACAATTCCCCCCACTTCGACTTCGTTCTTCCTCGTCATGAACAAGGAGCCGGGCATATGGCGGAAGGCTACGCACGCGTCTCCGGAAAGCCTGGCGTTGTGCTTGTGACATCTGGACCAGGCGCAACAAATGTTATTACTCCAATGCAGGACGCCTTGTCGGATGGAATTCCCCTCGTGGTATTCACTGGCCAGGTGGCCTCTGCCGCTATAGGCACAGACGCTTTCCAAGAGGCGGATGTCATTGGCATATCAAGGTCATGCACCAAGTGGAATGTCATGGTCAAAGACATCGCCGAATTACCGAGGAGAATAAACGAAGCTTTCAAGATCGCAACCTCAGGTCGACCCGGGCCCGTGCTTGTTGATTTGCCAAAGGACATTACTGCCAGTGTTCTCCGAACGGCTTTACCGTTCAAACAAACTACGGCTGGCCATTCAGCCCTCGCTCTCCCTACCAACCCCCTTGCCTTTCCCGAGCCACCCACCGAACCAGCCCTGATCAAGAAAGCCGCAGATCTCATTAACCAGTCCCAACGACCGATCGTCTACGCTGGAGCCGGTATTCTCTCATCTCCACATGGCCCGGCCCTACTCCGCGAATTGGCCGAGAAAGGCAACATTCCCGTTTGTACGACTCTCCAAGGTCTCGGTGCCTTCGACGAGACCCACCCCAAGAGTCTGCATATGCTGGGAATGCACGGTTCTGCCTACGCCAATCTTGCCATGCAGCAAGCTGACGTCATCATCGCGCTTGGCGCTCGTTTCGACGACCGGGTAACAGGGAAACTCGATGCTTTCGCGCCTGCGGCCCGAGCCGCCCAGACTCACGGACGGGGCGGGATCATACACTTTGAGATTCTGCCCAAGAATATCAACAAGGTTGTAGAGGCAACTATCCCCGTTCTAGGGGATGTTGTCGAAAACATGTCGAGCCTCGTACCACACATTCGGTCTAGTCCACGGGAAGCTTGGTTTGCGGACTTGGCGGGTTGGAAGAAGGAGTTTCCATTCACCTATGTCCCAAGTAAGGCGGGTGACAAAATGAAGCCACAAGAGGTTGTGGAGGAACTTGATGCACAATGTAAAGCCCGCAAGGCGGACGTCGTCATTGCTACTGGTGTTGGACAACATCAAATGTGGGCAGCCCAGCATTACCGATGGACACACCCGAATACCCTCGTCACTTCGGGTGGTCTAGGGGTGAGTTTTATCTCTTTTAAGTCGTGTTGTTTTTCTTAACTCTCATTAGACAATGGGCTTTGGTTTACCTGCAGCTATTGGGGCCAAAGTCGCCGCCCCATCAAAAACTGTGGTTGACATTGACGGCGATGCCTCATTTAGTATGACCGCGATGGAGCTCGCCACCGCTTCGCAATACAACATCGGTGTGAAGGTGCTCGTGCTCAACAACGAGTTCCAGGGCATGGTCCTCCAATGGCAGGACCTATTCTACGACGCGCGCTACTCGCACACGCAGATGACCAACCCCGATTTCGTGAAGCTTGCCCAGGCGATGGGCGTCCACGCATTGCGATGCGAGACAGCTGCAGACCTGCCCGCGAAGATGGCCGAGTTCCTCGCGTACGACAACTCCAAGCCCGTGTTGATGGAGTGTCTTGTCGAGCGAAACGAACACGTGTTCCCGATGGTCGCCGCCGGCAAGGCGCTACACGAATATATTCTCCATCCGTCGCTGCGGAAGTCTTCATGATTACGGACACGTTCGTTTACCCTTTCTGACCCCCCAAAAGCAACCAAGTTTGCACCATCTGTATCTGTACTCACTCGAGGTTTTATCGTATTCCGCATTTACTCTGCATTTGAATGACGGTTGGCTTTTGTATTATACCTACGCGTATCAACAACCATTGGAGCAGTTTCTGACCATATGTCAGTGTAAGCTCGAGTCAGTGTAGGCCCGAGCCAGTCCCTTTTTGACGGGTGAAGATGGGCAAGTCACGATCATCACTGCGCGACCGATTTTGTCACGTCCGCGATGCGACTGGTTCGAGTGAACATCTGGTTCTCTTCATAACCGATATTTTTTGAGGCAGCTTATCAACAAGTCCATATTCAGCGAAAATACTACATAAATGGTCCACCAGAAAAGAAAGAAAGTTCATTCACCTCCTCCAGAACTGTTGAGAAAGCACTCGGATCCAAGACTGAAAAAATAACTTAGAGCACAGACCAAGACTAAACTTTGATGGTACAGACTGTACAATGCTGATGAACTCAAAAAACCTGTCAATTCTCTTGGGAAAGCCATCGAGCCATGGCAAATTTCTCCTCGACTATTTCTTGAAGCTCCTTGGCATCTGCTGGATCCATCTGCGTTCCTTTGGGCAGCGCTGCCGGATTTGCGTCGTCGAAGTCGAAGAGTAGCGCTCTGGATTGTTCTGCAGGCAGTCCGAACGTCGTGTCGTCGGCAACGAGGTTGGTCGGGGTGATGTCGCCGTGCATGACACCCACCTGGAAAGCACGCATGTGGGCTAGGATTATTATTATCCTCCGACATCAACTCATGGATACGCAAAAGACACACCGAAAAGGGAGGTTTGCATGCCGTGCAACAGATGAGACGGGGTCGGAAATGCATACATCGGACAGCCAATGGTCCTGAGCAAACAGCGAGTGCGGCGACTGTGGCGAGACTGGGGCAAAGCAACAGAAGGTGTTGGCAAGGGCCGGAAGATGACACGATAGACAGGCGAGGGTGTGTATGGCTGCTTCAACAGGCACAGACGGTAGATGTCAGGAATAGGTACGAGTTCCAGACACTCCAGGCTTTGGGTGCAGCAAGGCGTCTTGTGTGCTGGCTGGATAACCAAAGTCGAGTCGTGGGCGCCGCGGAAGCTGGTGAACAGGCGTTTGTAAGCGGGGTCGCGAAGCATGGTCTGTGAAAGCTGCAGAATATCAAAGAGATTCTTCATGAGAACAATACGCGAAGAGCAGTAAGAGCGTGGCGGTTGTTCGACTCTATAAAGCCGATGAAAGAGGGCCGGCAGAGTCTGCGTGTCTTGACCCAGATCGAAAACTTCGCCAAGCACAAAATCGGTCCTGGAGAATTCGATTATTCGGGCAGTGGTGCCAGTGGTATGCAGATCAAGCGCGACAACAAAGGCGCGATTGGAGTGTCCGGCTAGGAGCAGTCGTTGGCCAGTTCTGAATACATCGTCTTCCTGGCGAGTTGGGCTCTTCTCCCTCCAGTTTTTGACAACAAGGTCGAAGCGTTCCAGTTCAGGGATAGCTTGCTTGAAGACTACATCGATCTGCTGCCAGTCCCACCGGCCTGGCGGCTCTGATAGCCCGGGTGCACTACCAATGACGTCTGGGGCGGACTTCGACACGCATTGTGTGTCGTGAGTGGCAGCGAATAAAGGACGGCTTGCACTGGGAAAGGTGGAAACAAGAGCAGACAGCAGGTTGATCTTGAGATAGACGTTAGCCAAGGACTGCGCTGAGGGGTCGTCGCGTACCAGATGCGATGTTTTTAGCTCTGGAGTACTTGTGCCATCGAAAGCCATCGACGCGTTCCTTTGCAAGTGACAAGATAGGACAAGATGTAAGTTATGTATGGGGGGCACTCGGATGTTCTACTGTTCAGAGGGGGGTCAAAGTTGATGTTACTATACACGGTTAGATTATATAGCGGTTTGCTTGAAGTGCTGGCCACTAGTACTGTTGAACGCTTGGTTGAACGTTCTTCGAGCGAGGACGCACAGTCACGTGCTGTGTGACGCAGTTGTTGCAAGTCAACAGAAGTCAACAGTCGTCCCTCACTCCCGAACTCTGCACCTGCCTCGTCTGCCACAATCATCATGCCCACTCCGGGTCCTTTAAATCCATACTATTAGTCGGATCCCGACCAAACCAACGACACCCGATCAAAGGCAACCTAAAATATCTTGCCTCCTTCCACCATGTCTCTGGAAAGCTTGCCGCCAGAGATTCTTCTCAAGATATCCGCTCAGGTCTACTCTATCGAGGAGCTTCTCGCACTTTCTTCCACCTCGCGCATCCTTTACCACATCTGCTCCTATCTTAGTCCAAAAGTCATTTCCCAACTCACGGCTGAGTCTGGCCGCGTATTCTTCCGGCCGCACCCACACACGCTCATTGCTGCCACAGCAAGGCAGCTGGCCGACTGGGCTGTGCAACACGACAGTCGCCGTTTCCGGCTTGAGGAGGCCATCCGTGGCGGCGTCGACAAATTGCTGGAACTCGCCATTGATGTCGTAGAGCTCACGCTGGATGACATTCGGCGGCTATGGCACTTTAAATACAACGTGCTGAATCCTCTCGATAAACAGCTGGATTTATCAGCAGGCCCTGGGTCGGACTACTCGTGGACTGTGTGCAACGACCCTGCCGCCACGCTTGTTTCCTGGGTGATATACGGGGAACTGTTCCACCATTCAATCGAGATTGGATACCTCCCTATCAACTCTTTTGAGCATAGGCCGCTCAGCAGTCTGACGCGTTACAAGTGGCTCGCATACTGCGTGCCCGACGTGAACTGCTTCAACTACCTCGGTTTCAGCGACGAGCCTCAATTCTTCAAGCAGTACGAAGCTCAGGAAGAAGACCGCTTTCAGCAGCTCAGCATGAAGATGGCATACGAGGAATTCCTCACTGATGCGCGTTGGGAAACAGCGTTGGAATCGAACGAGGCTTTTCACGCATTGGATAACTACGCGCGTGCGAAATTCGTGGTCTGTGTGAAGCACTGGGGCTTCAGAAGCTTGGAGCTCCTTGTGCCTGGTGGTGTCGAAAGGCTAAAGGACGATTTGGACGCTGCGGCAGCCAATTTGGTTGTCGAGTTAGAGGAGGAAGCAGTGTCAGATGACGATTCAGAGGAGGAGGAGGACTGGGACTACGACATCGACGATGATACTGTCCCGCTTGATCCGAAAGAGTTGGAACGACGGGCCTTATTCAGCGATCCATGGTGGCTGACAAGGTTTCCAACCCTCACCAAGGACCTGCATTTCACACTCTGGGGTGACTGGGACGGAGGAGAAGAAGGAGAGCCAGCTTTATTACAGGCTATACGCAGTCCCGCTACTTTACAATGACACATTATGTCATGCCTTCCACAAGAAGTTCACTTCGTCGGCTCCGGCCGTCGATACCAATTGTCATTGATGCAGTCAAAGTCAAGCAACAACCCCTGCGCCTCACCATTGGGATGGTCGATCGTGCGGTCGTCGTACACGAGATTCGCCGGGGTGATATCGCCATGCAGAACTCCGGCATCATATGCTCTTTTGTGACCTGGGAATGCTGTTGTTAAGCTGAAGCAAAGGGAGAGATTATGAGCATACCCGCGACGACCGAATACAGTCCATGCACAAGTGCTTTCGTCCGGGGAAATTTCCAGAGTGGTCGGCAGGGAGCACTAAGTAGGCAGCGGAGTGACTTGAACTGCAGGTTAGGTAATTCTGGGGCAGAACTACTCTCAGTTTGACCGGGCCCATTGAGTTCCATATCCTCTCCATCGTCAAGCTCGAGGTCCATCCCGCCACTTTCTTCGAAGCTCTGCTCACCATCATGCTGCTGCTCATGTTCAAGCGTTGAATGTCGGAAAACAACTCGATAGCAAGGATGTGGGCGCTGGACGAAGCGACGAACATCAAAACTCCAGTTTTCAGGGAAGATCGGGGTGAGGCCGAGACAGTGAAACTTGACGGGGCCGCCTGGAAGCCGCCGTGAGCTCCCAATGACGAGAGTCGTATCTGCCAAGCTCTCGGGACTGGTCAACATCGCGAGTTGCCCCACCTCCGGTGCAAAGCGGCCCAAATGTCGGTACCATTCCAAAAAGCTGTAAGTTTTGGTGGCGACAGAGGCGCTGATGGTATTGTGCTTTATGGGCCGTTGATTTGAGAGGTAGAATCGTTGCAAAAATCCAAGAAGAATGCTGTTGGCCTCTGCTAAGTTGAAGAGGTGTGTGGCGATAAACGTTGCGCGGTCGAAACGGAAGATGCGTGCAGAGCCGTCAGGGAGCGCGGTAACAACGAACGCATAACTATTTTCCGATGCAACCATTATGTTACGGGCCATCTTCGACAGTTTGCGAATCGTGTTGGAACTGTCTGGGTTTGACTCGGCGGTGGGGAGGAAGTCGGCGTCTGCAAGCTTTATCACAATGCCGACGTGTTGCCATTCACAACTGGTGGGCATATCTCGCAGTCCTAATCGGCTACCCAAGATTCGCGACGACTGGGCTTGCCACTTGAAAGTTGGTCTCGAGTTGTCGGGAAATGTGGATACCGCATGTTCAAGGAACGTCATCTGAGAGGAATAGCATTCAAAAGCCCGTCGAAGAACATGCTGAATACTCACTAAAGATTCACTACTGAGAGGTGGGTTGGGGCTCCTCAGTTGGACAGTGGCACCAGGCGTCTCGTCTTGCGACCTAGCCAGTCCAACGTAGGTGTCGATGAATTTGTTTGGGTCGACAAGTGCGCTAAAGCTTTGAATCTGGTGATGAGATTCAGCCTTTTGAGTCATGGTCGGCCAAGGAGTTGCGTTCAAGTCGTAAGTGGGGATGAGGAATGGAAGAAAGCGATGTACATGTGAACGTGACCGCGCTTTGAAAAACTTACATAATTATGCGTTAAGTGGATCAATCGGGCCGACACAAAAGAAAATTTGCATTAAACAAGGATAGCCCGCAACACATCCCGCAGTTGCTCAATCTCTTCACCCAGTTCCGGTCGCTCAGGCGTACAGTTATCCGACTCGGGCGCCACATCGTCCTCGATGCCGTTCAACATAAAGCCTGCTTGGAAAAACCTCGCCACGGCTGCATTCGGAAGCCCATGCTTGCCATCGCAGACAAGCACAGGGGGGGAACCGCGCTCCCAGACAACGGAATGGCCGATGCCGACCGTTACAATTGTTTTGTTGCAGGAAAAGAGCGCAGAAACATCTTTAAGCGTCCGAGGATCTGTTGTAGCGAGCTCATTTGTTTCGGTTCCCGGACGTGGAAAGAGAATGTGGACATCCGCGAGCAACGGGAAACGCGCAAGGCTCTCGAGAAGTTGCCTGGATATTATCTGTGAAGCAAAAAAATAAGAAACATTGCTGCAGAGGAGAAAGAATATCATACCTCGGCCTCTCCATACGATTGCCAATTCCACTCGAAGCCGAACTGTGTCAGCTTGGTCGCATCACATAGTTCAAGGATGGCTTCAACATCTGTAGCGTCGACACGACCAAACCCCACACGTAAACTTGTAAGGCGGGACAATATTCTTCGGAGGGCCTCTGCGTATGTCACGGCTTCCCTGCTCTCTGGACTGACAAGCAGTTCCTGCACGGACAAGTCTTCTAGCATTAACACACGTTCATTCACCCACAAGTGTGTCAAATTTGGTAGTCCCCCTAAGCTGACTGAAGCCAGAAACACAGACACAAGGCCAGGATACAGTCGGCCCTCTCGATCCCATTTACTGTAGCCTGCTAGTTTATCGCTGAAGTCATTGTCGTCTTCTTGGTCGGCGTCAGGAGCCTCTTCATTTTCATCTTGGTCATTTTCGTTGTCCTCTTCTGTCACATCCTCTTCGTCATCGGAGTCCCAGAAATTGCGCGCGTTGTTGTTCACATTGTCATTGATTTCCAGAAGACGCAATGCATTCATGTCTAAGGGAGGCAAAGCTTCGAAAAGGTGGATTTCCTCAAAGTCCATCCAACCAATACTATTGAGATATACGTTAATGAGCGAAAAGAAAGGCAAGAAATTGCGGACCTAGATCGCACATCCAGACGAAATTCGTCTAAGAGACGGTAATCGACCATGTTCAACGGTCCGGTTTGGGCAGCAAACACGGTCTTATCGCATACAACCAGCTCCAAGCGACGGACGGAAGGGAATCCGAGGAATGGAAATTCGAACTCGGAAGACGCTCCCATAGCCGGCGAGCCACCACCACCCCAGTTCCAGACACCCTCCGTAATGTCAAGCTTGAGGTCGCGCAATTTGTTGTAGGTCCTGAATTCGTCGATCTTGGTTTTCATCCCTCCAAACACGGTGTAGTTTATGTGTCTGAGCTCCAACGAGGAAAGCGATGGACCGACGCCTGTCGTGAATGCGTCAATGCTGGACACTTCAAATGAGATACAACCCGGAATAGAAGATGGGCACGCACTCCCAAATATCAGCGTCAAATGTCGCACTCAACTCCCCAGGCGCCGCGTAGTCCGCGCCGCTGGCCGGAACCCCTTGCGCGCTGCTGCATCGTGAACAGTCAACAGCCAATCGCTCCAGTCGATTCAGCTTTGCTAATGGCTCCAAAATGGTTGAATCCAACTGCAAGCCGGGATAGCCATGGTAGTCGAATGTGCGTAGGTTTGTAGACGACCCGAGGAGGTCCACAATTCTACTCCGAAGGGCGAGAACACTGGCAGGCGCCGGTTGCGGCTGATCACGGCTCGCCAACGATTCATCTTCGAGACGAACAACAAGCTGGCGGAGGCGGTGGGCGAGCGGCTCCGTTTCCCCAGTGGGGATAGTGAGCAGGTAGTCGAGGACATCATTTGACGCTGTTGTGGCCCTTAGGCTGAAAGAGTCGAGGTTGATGGGCAGCTGCCACAACCGGTCAAGGACTACCAAAACAAGTGGGTGCGAATGTGGGAACGCGAGGAGGAGGGTGTGGAGGGTTGGCGGGTGCTGGATATATGCTAGGATAGTCGCAAAGACGTCCTTGTCGAGCTCGACCATCTCGGGGACGAAAATGGGTGTTTTTGAGGTGGTAGTGCGTTTAGTTCAAAAAAAGGAGACCGAGAGGTTTTGACTTGGCGGGCTGCTCTTGGCAAGTTGCACCCAAGTGATCCGGCGGGTTACTGCACGAGGAACCACATAGTTTTATATTTTGTGCTGCTCGCCAGAACAATGGATGTGTTCTCGCGTTAGGGCGTGTGGGTGAGGGACTGCCGTATTTGCTCCAGTGCAACAGCTACTTTTGTGGACGACGATTCGAAGGGCAACGACTGGTCACACAGTCGCGTTCAGACTCGGATGACGGATCCTTGCTCGCTTGCGCTCCATATGCAGCGGCGCGTCATCCCGGGCTCATATAATGTATATATATATATAGATTTTTGTGTCTCAGGGCCATAATGAGCCTCCCGCCAAACCAGCACAGCAGCAATGCGACCACATCGCAAACTCCTGCTCCACCGCACCGCCACGAACAGTGCAACAACAGGGTTGGCGAATAAGGATAGTTTATTAGTGCAACCTGCAAGATACCCGCATCCAATGGACCCCGAGGAAAGCAAGCTATGCCAACACGACAGCTGCAGGTCAAGTTGAGACATTCCGTTTATTGAAAGAGCGGTATACACGCACCTAATGCTTGACACCCAGCGAGAGACATCTTCCGCACGCGTAAACGACAGCCAACGGGTCGGCCTTATTCTTTGGACATCTTGCGGGTTGTGCGGACGCCCAAACCGCAATCGAAACACAAGTGTGTCAATGGTAATGAGCAACGGCTACCCAGCACCAAGTCCATCAGCAAACCTGTTCACCCAAAGAGCTGTGGTACTCACCATTAGTTGAGACGTGCTACGTGTCGTGCAGACGGGTATCGGTAGTTGACTTGAGAGGAACAGTCTGGCAAGCCACACACGTCCGGGCTATTGTGGATGCTCGAGTCCAGCCATGTACGCAGGCCTTAAATTGCACTATATCTGGAGAAAAGTCAGCCTAATACCAGTCCCAAATGCAAAAACTCACAGTGGTCTTGCGAGTCAAAGTCGGAATTCGCGTTCCGTCACAAATGTCGTGACTTGATCTTTTTCTTTGACCGACAATTGACCGACAATCTTCAGGCAGCAACCCGCCGCGCGATGCATCTTCCCGCAAGACACTCCCGGGCCACAAACGGCAAGCGCCCGCTGAGAACGCCTGTCTAGTCCTTAGTAGCGACAACTCGGCCCTCAAATTGCTGGCGCCGCTTCACGACTGGGCTATGGCCGGCTTCTTGGGCCACCAAATTGACAAGTAAATGGCTACTACGACGCCTCGTCTTTGCCTGTCGCACCATCGGCCCGTTGACGAACTGTGCAACGGGACATGGCGGCCGACGTCGGGCGCTCATCGGGCTTGCCAGCACAACTTACTCAAACCCCGCTCTCGCGCCCGCCAAACTACCAGGCCTGCGCGTTCATCACATTCTCCAAGCGAGTCAGATGACGACAAGACCACCAGCTCCTAAACCCCCCACCTCCGCCTCCAACGCCTATCGGGACGTTTCGGACAGCATTACTGCGTAAACATGTCAACAAACCGGCGCTGCCAACTCCAGACAACTTCGTCAAGCCCGCAACCAACCCCCAGGTAAACTACGCCGGACCGGTCCGACGCGCGAGGGAAACGAGGGCGGGAGGGAGCAAACCAGATTGCTTGGAGGAAGGTGAGTGAGCGGATTCAACATTGTGAACGACCAAACTCACAAGCAAGCCGCTCTAGTCAACCCAACCCAACCCAATTCGACTCCGCCATTCCATTTCGTATCAAGTTCTGCAAATGGTCAAGTCAGAATATGTGCCCGCCAAGCTCAAGTCCCGCTAAAGCACACAAGACATATGGACTCAGCTCGCGCACTCACCGACAAGAACCACATCCCCCGACTTCAACGCCCAGCCCGAAATTAACAACACAACGCCAAACCTCAGTCTTGCGGGAAGTTTTTGCAAGCCCGAACATGACTAAAACGGGCTCAACAACATTATGCCTAGGACGAACTGGGGCAAAAGCGGCTATTACAAAGTCAGTACCGACCGCCAATGAGCGTCAAGAACCAAGCGCTGCCCTGGTCAGTTTTTCATATTCCCCACAAGACAATGCGCTCACAATGCTCCAACTCAAACCAGTTTATCATCAAGTCCTGCCGCGCAATGAAAATGAGCTCGCCGAAGCAAGTCTTTGAAATAAAGTCAGTTGTCTCTGTCAACGTCATTGACAGCAAGCTTACCATACTGAAAGCAGCGCGCCAATGAATTCCAAACCAGGCCTGTGGTGTCAATCTGGCTCAAGGGCAACGGGGGTTGCCTGTAAGCACGGTCAGTCTTCGTGATCAACAACCAAGGCAGCAGAGTTATCACCCGATCCGACGCAACTTGAAGCTCGTCAAGCCTCAAACCGAGCCGGCTCGAAGCAACACATGCGAGGGAGTTGAAGCTCGCCGTTCGAAGCAGTCTGCAGCATGGTTAGTTGTCGACTTCAACATTTCAGACGCTCGAACTGACCGATGTAGCCTTGGAGCCACAAACGGCGATTCATCAATTTTGAACTTATGCTCACCAGATGAACGAGCCATAAGACAAGCAAGGTGCCAATGACGCCAACGTTCGGCTGTTGTCTAAAACGAAAGCTGCGAGGTAATTCGAACTGGGTCGTTGGTCAAATTAGGACTTATACCCACAGGAGAACGAGGGCGAAAGCCCACCGAGGCCCAAATAACTCTTGGAATAGGTCAGTTGTCGATATTAAGAGGCAGATACAGCACTCACCGCTCCTCATTCCAACCCAAACCAGCTCACAAGTCAACTATGCCCAAATCAAAATTGGCGACATTGTTCTCCACAACTAAGGCCAGAACGGGAAGCTGCCAAGTAAGTCAAACTGGGTCGCTCGTCGATTTAGGACTTGTATATACCTTTGCACAGACTTGGAATTGTCCCGAGGATGAAGGCGAAGACGAGCGGGTCGATGACGGGGAGGCGGAACAGTGGGCGGGGGCTGTGAAGGAAGTCAAATCGGGTCATTTGCCAAGCGAGACGCTATACTCGCCTTGCAACTGTCAAGAACAAGCCAGTCCGCGATGAGCGCGAGCGCAACCGGCGCTCGTTGTGCTGTTCGTCGTTGGACAGAGTGTCATGGCGAGCGGGCGGGAGAGTGCAAGTCGGATAGTGTACAGACTGTGGTATATAATCAGAAGATAACTATGGCGATGCCGGGCAAGCTGAGCGTGTCGAGAGCAGGTTGAGTGGGAGAAGGGAGAAAGAAACGATGGGAGTCAGGAAGACAAACCCAGGTTTATATACTTGCTATAACGGCATGTTGGGCCGACTCCGAGGTGATGCGCTGCAGAAATGAGCGGAGTTGACTTTCGCTTAAGATGGCCGTTAGGTTGAGATTTCAATATTGAAGCCTGACGCCGTCGGGGACCGAATCGAAGGGCTAGAACTACACTTGGGTAGTATTTCTAGTGTGCAGGGCCCTTAACATGGCTCACCTTCCCTCAGTATGTGTCTGGATACACAGAATGGTAAAAACGAATGTTGAGCAACAGTGCTTCATCGCGGGCTTCCGAGCTCCGATGAAACACTTCCCACGTTGGGAAACGTCGGCTACAGAACGCTAGTGCGGAGATCTGGCCAGCTCCGCCACCCTGAAATGTTGGGAAGCGAAATGTTGCATTTGCGGATTTCCATCCTATGGTACGTTAGCGGGCGCCATGCGGACGGAAATGAGCATGGGAGGCGTTGGGGGTAATATGTCACATGTCACAGAAGAAATCTCAAGCCTATCGGCTGCTGCGATGTGCTACTGTTAAATGATCAGTGGAATTGATCTCATCCTGAATCGCATCCATTAGAGTATGGATAGAGCTGCAATGAAGCTCTGGATAACATCTAGTAGTACTGAACATTATTTCCCACGCCCTCATTGACCCAATCACCACTGTTTGAAAGACAATTTTCAGAATCCGCAGAGGATTTCCATATCGGTCAGGATGGATGTTCGCTGAATCAGCGGCGCGGCGCAGCGTGTGGACCAAGTAAGATGAGAGTGATGACCAGAAAAGATGGGGAGGCGGGTCAGTTGATGACTTGCGGACAGCATCCAAAACAAAATAACTATCCCCGGCACAAAAAGGTTGAACCGGCAAAATAGGCAAAGGAGACAACATGTAAACGTAACCACTCAGACCAAGAAGCGTTTGAAATGCTTCCCGCTCAACATCACATGTGTTCACCTCAAGCGAGGCTAGGCCTTGGCAGGGCCATCGCTACCCTTCTTTAACGGCATTCACTCTCCATTCTCCGCCCGTCCGCCGCTCGCCTAGCTCTCCCCCGACGCTCAACCAGATAGGTCCTCCGTCGGCCTTCATCCCCGAAACCCGGCGGAGTCGGACGCCGTCGCCGTAATCCCATCACTGTCGCGTCGAGTCCGTGTCGGCATATCCGAGTCACACGCCGTGACTCTTTTGCTCTTAACCGCCAACAACACAAGAGACTCTCCCTCGCGTCGCCCACCCAATTGCTGCGCCAACTCGTCCCAGTGTCTCTTAGACGCGTCACCCACCTTATTTCAAGGTCTGTTGCTCACTTTCTCCACGTTTCTCGCGGGCTAACCAACTTGAAGCATGCTTCAGTATCGCCTTCGGTCCTCTCAAGTCTATAGGTTTGTTTCCTTGCTTTTCCCCCTTCATTGTACTCATATTACTCAAAAGTCTATGGCGCAACAAGCACCAACTCCCGCGACCTAGAGCCGCTGACTGCCCTTGAAGTTTATGTATGTTCCACCCTCGTTGTGTTGCTTGCGCTGACTTGCGTCTCACAGTGGTTTCTGCAAAGTTTATGCTGGGGAAATGAAGCCACCAGCGCGGTCTCAACCACTCTCGTGGAGCCGCTGTCGCGTATGTGTCATCTTGTTCCTCAATTCTGCGCGGCTGACCAGTGATGCTTAGGTTTTGTCCCCTCGTGTTT